TTCACTCTCAACAAGCCAGAATGTTGGACAGCTAACAGGAGATGCTTTTTCACCCATAGGGTTGTAAACCCGTGGAACCGCCTACCCGCCGAAGACGTAAACGCCAAAACTCCGCTGGGTTTTAAAATACAGCTGGAAAAAATCATCAGGGCAAATTGGGGGACGTTTGACAAGCCGCCGGCTTACTGTCCTCATCGAGGACTAGTAGTGACCCTCAGGTAAATTCAGTTCCTGGAGAGGTGTCTCCGCTTCTTCCTGTTGGAAAGTTGTTCATCTATTGCAGTGTACACACGACTGTCGCTTGTCACTAAACTTAGTTTTTAAACTATTAACTTGATGAAATAATACTGTTTTATCTTATAGGCGAGAATAATTCTGAATGCGCAGTGTGATGAAATTGACGAATGCGATCACCGCCCACGGGATGGGTATAGGGTGCATAATAAAGAAAAATTGAATTGAGGCCTTGAGTTGGGCGGCAGCGTAGGCGAGCCTGGCCTGAGGACAGGCAACTGTAAATGCTTCACCCTCCACATACTTCAAGTGCAAATAATTACCAACAGAACCTAAATACCGAATCTACTATACGCCTAATTAAACAATGTAAAATTAATTTATACACGATAAAAACTTTTTAATACACAGTACATGAAAGTCGATAATAAATGCGTCTTGGGAGGGTGAGTGGGGAGTGGAGGGGGGGGGGGGTCGACCGCTGGGTTAACGAGCCTAGCCTGACGACGGAGCAGTTTAACACTCTGGGAAAGTGTCTTCTACATAATATCCTACCCATATAATGTTGGCAAATCATGATCCTCAAAATGGATTCGTATCCTGGGCGGGGAGGATTTACTGGGCGCAAATCCTTAACTTAACTGTAGCCTGGTTGATTTAGCCTCTGTTTAACTCAACAGTAAAATGGGTACTTGGTTGTATCAACGATTCTTCGCGGCGGGGATCGTATTCCAGGGACCTGCCCGAAACGCTACGCGTACTAGTGGCTGTACAAGAATGTAACAACTCTTGTATATATCTAAAAAAAAAAAAATCCACAAAAGCCGAGAGAGAACAGACTATTTAGCATTATTGGAATACAAACATTTGAATACTACAGAACTCGGATGAAAAAAAAAAATACGGAAACAATGACCCTCGGAGACATTACTAAAAGTGTTATAATAGCGAACAAATGTATAATGCATTAAGCATTGTAGGTGGTGGTAGACATATTCATGCGTACCTCCCAACTGCTCAGATATTTTAGAAAAAACAAAAAATATTATCAGCCTTACCTAGAGGGGAACGACGATGCTCACGGCGCCGCTGCTTCCTGACGACTGGCGAGGTCAGTCAATGAACCGTCAGCGACCAACCGACACAGAGACCCTCTGCCTAAAATTATTTGAACGCCATATTGAAATTCCTAGTGTATAGCGCCAGGAATGTGTAAATTAATATTAATATGCATTATAGACCTTTCTAAAGTAGTTATAGATCTGAATATCATACGGCCAGGATACGAATCCAGGTCAAAGTGCTGCCGAAGAGCCGGGCGCGTGCTTTACCACTACGCCACAGAGGCTGCTTCGTGACGTAGTGGAATTTTGAATTTTGAAACCTGACTAACCTAGCTCAACCCATCCTAACGTAACCCAAATTAAACCAATTTAATCCAACCGAGCCTAATGCAGCCTAACCTTAATAACATAACCTAATACAGCCTAGCATAACAATACATTCGGTTTTAAAAAAGAAAATGAATTTAGCCGAATCGTCTCATGTCGGAAACGACCATATCCCGACCAGTTGTGTACCCACAGGCCTAGCAAACAAACACCTCATCTAACCAGACAAACACCCCCTAACTCTACCAAGCACACCGAGACCCCTACCAAAGAAGGGAGGGTCCACAGACGAGAACGTGGTTGTAGGTACAGGTCCACAGGCATGGGCCCCAGTGCCGACCATCTGGGTCGGGGGCCAACAGTGCATCGCTTTGCTCAGAGAGTATAATGCTGCTAACACAGCCCTGTCTTCAATAAACAAACTTTTCAGGATTATTTAATTAGCTAAGAGGATAGGAAGCCGGCGGCTTGTTATGTCCCCTATTTACCCTGGTGATTTTATCGAGCAATGTTTTATCATTTACGGTTTTGTCGGGAAGGTAGTTCCATGGTTTCCCTAAATTTACTCACGGGCAAAAATAGCCCGTAAGTGGAAGATTTTTTAGGGTGGTGAATGTGATCTTTGGTTGTGAAAGGAAATACTGCGTGTGCTGTGTTCGCATTTAAATCGTCAGTCTGTGGCTGCTATCGCGGGGTGCTTGTTTGTGTTGCATCTGACCATAAATAATCATCATTAAGTTTCTTAACATTAATCGCCCAAAGTAGCCCATCTTGTTTTTAAATTAGCCCAAAAACTAGCAAGTAGCGAAATTAAAAATTTGGGAGCGCAGGGCTCTCAAAAGTAGCCCAATTCGCTACTTGTAGCCCAATCTGGCACCACTGCTCCACTCACACGGTTCATAAAGGGCCACAAGTTATGTCGTTCTACGTCATCAATATGCCTTTTTAAACACACCTCTTCTACCCTCCTCTTAACAAAACTAACACAACTTGAGATAATCTTTTAAACTAACCTAATGAATATCAATTCTCTGTTAGATTTATATAATAAATATACCTTAGGTGCGCCGTCACTGTGACGTCATTGACTAGCCTCTGAGGATCTTTTTGGACACTTCGCTAATTTGTCCCGCTACTCTCTATTAATTATTTTAAGTCACACTGTAGTGATTATTATTAATTGTTATGTCACATTGTAATAATTATTATTATTAATTATCTTACGTCACATTGTAATATACAGTAGCAGGAGAAATGTTTAGCGAAAATGTGTATAATTATTGTACAGTAGTAACGAGAACGATTATAATATTAATAAAACTATAATAATGTCATTAATATAAAAAGCGGTAGTAAGTCCTACAAGCATGTGTGTGTCTCCTTGACAAGCCATTATTGCATCTTAATTCTTGCATATCAATGAATAATTGAATAAAAGGTCCCCGGGTTTGATTCCTGTACAGAACGAGAAAGTTGGACACTGTCTTCTTCACTTAATGTCTCTGTTCACCTAGCAGGAAACAGGAGTCCCAGGAGTTATTCTACTGTTGTGGGTTGCATCCTAGGGAAGGTCAGACTGGGGGAAGGGGGGGGGGGCACGGACGTCCACATTGTGGCATCTAATTAAATTAATCTATGTCGCCTGATTGGGGGACTGGGCCGCGAGGACGTTGATCCCCGAAATCATCGCAAACTATGTACTATATGTTAGGGGTTAGTTACATATCATGGTACAGTATAAGAAAAAACTAAAGAAAAAAAGTTGAAGCAGGGATTTCCCAGCAGGTGTTGGGGTTTCTTCCAGGCAGATGATGTCAATGACCTTGGTCACAATCTTGTGATCCAGAGCACAATATCATTTTCCAAGAAAGCTTATATGTTCTAAATGATATTAATATCACAATACAGTATTGTTTTATAGTATTAAATGTAGTCATAATTGAGTATTTTCTTAAATACTGGACTCATTTTCGTAAACAACCAAAATTATTGTAGCTATTTTAAAGTTTTTGTCCACTTCAGACACCTAGGGGTTTTCCAATTTTTTGATCATCTCTCTCTACTACTGATAAATATATGGCATTATGCTTTTATCCCAAAACTGGGTATAATAGTTCAGTGCTATATCCAGTTTCTTTATCTCCCTAGTACTGTATCACTATATCTTCCTCATTGTCATCATACATTATCCCCTTCCCTTGAATCCAGTAAGATTATCTAGCATGAAAAGTACCACCTTCCAATCTTCATTTTCTTCCTTCTCTCTATTCCAGACCATAACAAATAGGATATTCTAAGGGACTATCTGAACTAGTGTAACGTGCATGATACACATATACAAACTGAATGTAAATAGTTCATTATAAATGGCAATTGCATAGCTTAAATAATGTTATAGGTTCAGGAACTTAAACCATAATATGACTCTAAAACCTTTCTGCAACTACCCACAGGATGGGTATACCCATACTGTGGGTAGTTGAAGAAAGATTTAGTCACAATGTAACATCAATGTTCTCACATTTTTCTTACCACTTTCAGGTTTAAAATTACTGTATGTATTGAGTTAGCTTTAATCACTTCTCCATCTACTTTATTTTATTTACCGTATTTACAACTTTTTTGTTAAAATTTCTTGAACTTTCAGAGAGTTCTGTGACTCATTTGTCTCTTAGTTTCCATCCATGCCACCTTGTTCAACCAATCATCACTGTGGGAGTAATCTGAGTATGTTTCAATTGAATGAGCTCCAGCTACTGCTCTTCGCCATTTAACTTTCATTTGTTTTGCGGGATGAATCGCAACAATAATGTGTTTTGTCATACCAACTTTCTTACCCACTACAGCCATACCTCCCTTCCCTGCTCCAATTCCAACTCTTGTGCACCATATTTTCTGCACATTGGCCAATTTATTGTCATGCTGATATATAGAGACAAAAGCTTTGCAATATTGGAAAAGGAAAAAAAAAATACCCCAAGGCAGCCACTTTTATAAAATGATACTAGCCAAAACCAATGGATTGCAGTGCATCATGACAATGCATATATATTTTATGATTGAAGTTAATGTGGTGAGCTGTTCTCAAGGTAACATCTACAGGTACATACACATGTAGAAAAGGAAAACAAACAAGACAATAGGTCAAAGAAACCCCCTGATGCAGATACAGTACTTAATTTACCTTAATTCTTACCTGAAAACTTGTACAATAAACTAATATAATCAAATTCAAATACAATACTGTAGTGTACTAAAGATATTTCATGTTCAAATAATTAAGGAAAATTAAAAAATAATTTTAGGAGAATTGCCTAGAGTACACTGATATATATTTCCATCTCTCAAAGGAAATCCTGTAATAACAAACTGGGCTTCTTCACATTCTTTAATAAAATAATGTTTATAAAAATAAATTAAACTATTCATTTCACATAATTATCCTTCTGAGGCCTTCATTTCTTCTTTTACCAATTTGTAAGCTTCACTGAATGTTAATGGAGGTTTCCTCTTCTTTATATACTGTGGAAAAAATATTACCATTAGTACACAGAACAAAAATCAAGCTTGGACTGAACAGGATATAAAAACCACCTATCTAAGCTAGACATTCAGTTGCAAATGTTGTGCTGTTCCCATGCACAAGACTATGCAGAGTGAGAATAAGTCAAGTCCTGCATTGGCACAACAGGGATCTTTACAAATGTCTACATCAGGGGTTTGCTTGGGCTCTGGGACACCTGAATATTTCCTGCACCTTTAGCTTCACCACTTCTGCATTGTATAGGTCGACATTCAATCCCCAACTATCCAAGTGGTTGGGCATCATTCCTGTCCTCTGTCCTATCCTAAATCCTTATCCCTTCCAAGTGCTGTATAATTGTAATGGCTTGGTGCTTTCTCCTAATAGTTACCTTACCTCTTGCACACTGGATGATACTATATACAAGGCTCTAAATAATTCATGACAAATTTTTTTAAGGGCAGTTCTATGTTAGCCAGTCATGAGTGGCATTGTATACAAACCAACAAATTGTTTAAGTTATACAGTACCTTTTCTGTGTTGCTGAGAGAGGTGTAGCGGTGCGAGGAGGTCAGAGTGGCAGTATAGGCATGGTACAGTGCCTGCTGACTATCAAGGAACTGTCTCGTTAAGGCTACTTGTTGACGCATTACATCCTTAACACCAACCAAACTACTCATCCCAAATAACCCTGAAATAATAAGCAAATCTATAATTACAAATGGAATTTATAAAATCATTGAATTTTTTATAAATATTTTATAAATAATTCTTGTATGTATTTGAGGGGAACTTTACTTGTGTCTAAGTAAATTATTAAAAAGAAAAATCTATAACATTCTACATAACTTTTCCCAATCTCAGGGTAAAACACCAAAGCAACCACAGAAAAAAAAAAAAAAACGAGACCACTGTAAGTAGAACACCATTGACGCAAGTGCACACCGTGCTATAACTAATCTAATCAGGCAAAAGCTCAATTGCAGGATTACAAGCCCAATCAAACATCGCAGGAGAGTAACTGACAAAGGTATGAGAACACTGTAAAAGTGAGGACTCCCAGGGCTGGAACCAAACCAACAGGCAGGAGCTCAAGTTCAGGGCAAAATTGCAACGTGAACACCCTACAAGTACAGAACAGTACTAGAATTAATTTCCCTCTATACTGTAATTGAGTAGAGTAAATAATTATGAAAAGCAAAAGTCAAGCTTTTCATAATTGAACAAGGCAGTCCACATACCTTGTTCATACTAAACCTTTTTAATTTTCTGCAGTTGCAACAGTTCTTGTCTGGAACAGAACACTTCCAAAGTATCCATGTTTCTGAAAGACACTGTGCTTCCATAAGACAAGAGTCCCTTCTTGTAGAGTTTCACTGTACAATAATCTATTTTCACCTTATACTCTCCACTCAGTTTGCTTACATTTATTCATTACTGCATTTGATTTTAAAAATGTATCGCTCAGAAAAGTGTATCATAGAGCTTCGGCCTCACACGCGTGGGGTCCACGGTTCGAGACTCCTATAACCCAGGTGAATGGAAGGGTATCATTATTTTCTTTGCTATACTCAATTTACACACAGACTCTTATTAAAGTTCTTTTCCTTATGTCCCAGGAGAGAGGTTTGTAAACATGTAGTCACTGTCAGGATGTATTCTGAGAATGCCACAAATATGCATGCCTATTTAAATAAAGCTAATATTATAACACACTAATCTAGTATGTCACAAACCTTCAGCTACAAGAGGACTGGGATAATGAGAAAAAATCTCCGTTGATGCAGCACATGTTTGATGGTGTTGAGGCCATAACTGCATGTGGGGAAGTCCAAACTGGAAAAATATACCATAATAATATACCTTTTACAAGTATCCACATACTGTAGTTTAAATCTGCACACTATTTTAAGAGCACTGATGATGTGTAAAAACAACAACATGTAAACCAGTTAATGGTCTCAAATTTGATCTAATAGTTCTAATCCTATGATTGCACTAAACTGGGTGTCAATTGTATTTGAAATCTCATTAATAATCATTAAGTCAACTTTGTTACTCATGGTACATACCCAGGGACTGAAAACAGGCTTTGACCTGTGTTTCCTGTGCCGTGAATGACATCTGTGGTGACAATCTGATTCTGAATCAGAAGTCCCACTCTCACTTGATGACTCTGAAGTAGATATTCTGTTCTTTTTACAGTTTGAATGTTGCCGACTTTTTCTGGTGTGTTTCGACGAGCTTCTGTCTGATTTTTTATATTTAGTTCTTCGTTCAGTATCTACAATATTCTTCGATTTATATCCATTTCTTTGTCGTGATGATTCTGGTCTTTTGTGTTTTCTTGTAGATTGGCTTGTAGTATATTTTTCTTGCATGTGATTATCTTGTGAACATTCTCTCGAAACTGGTGATGACACCTTTAATGATAAGCTTTGTTCAGTATCTGAAGCACCATTTAATGCATCCTTTTGTATTCTTTCCCGTATCTGACTTTCTCCTGCTTGACTACCACCAGCACTCTTAACGAAGTTCTCCTCAACCTCCTGATCAATGCTAGAAATGGTTCCAGGTTCAGTTTCTACTACAGATGCAACGGTACTGCTCCTAATGGAGGTAGCAATACTCTCTAAAATACTCTCGTCAGAATTTAACTTTGGCTTATTATTATTTTTTGTGTTAGATTTTGAGGTTTTAGATTTTGTTATACTCTCTTTCTTAAATTCAATTAAAGAGTTTCTCCGTGATGAATGAAAGACATTGCTTGAAGTTTGTGCTAAAAGTACTCCCACTGGTTCATCACTATCATCATCTTGCTGGTTACCCGAATAAAACAAACTTTTCCTGGAATTTAACAATATGTTCTTTTCCTTTTCCTTGTTATCAGGAAATTTCTTATGCTTAGAAATTTGTGAAGGGTCTTTATTATCAACATCAGATAATTTAACTTGTAAACTATTGGAGGCTGTATTCTTATTTTTTACAAATAGGGAGGTTTTACCACTTGCATCAATATCACTCCCTATGGCTCCTGCCAAGTCCTTCTCATTCACTGAATTTTTGGACTTACTGATAATTTCTCCTTCACATTTGCGGCTAACACTTTTGTGATCAGATTTACTGTCACTATCGGTCACTTGACCCAAAATATCATTTACTGTCAATATATTATTAAAATTAATGACTTCATCTATACTATCATCACATATTTCACTAGAGGAATGGTTCTTAGTAACTGCACCAGCACCAGGTAAGTTTCCATCTAGTTCATCTGTAAGGGAGGTTTCATTCAGATACCGAGCCAGTTCTTCATCAACTGATGAACTATCACTCATTAGTCGAGGCTGTCTCCTGTAAGCAGCATGGTCAGAACCAATCTTCACTTGTCTATTGGTAGACTTGGAAATCTCTGACCTTGCTACATCCTTACTGGCCTTATGTTTCTTTAAGTATTTTTCCTCTAAATTACTTATTTTATCATATGAATATGTTTTTCTGTGCCCAGTATCCTCATATTTTTTACTAAGTGCAGCTATGTCTGAGAGAGATTCTATATCTTTTCTCTGTGTCAGACTGGACAACTTGTGTGTTCTGACTGGAGAATTACTTTTATCAGACGATTCCAACTCATCATCAGAAGGCTCTTCCGCTGTACTTGTAGGACGAGATGACGAGTAGACCAAAGTTTTAGCATCCTGTTTCAGAGTGTAAGTCTTTTTGCTCAGTTGATTCAAGTAGGCCTATTGCAAAAATAAATAAAGTTCATTAATGTACTGTATTTTGAATACATTATATATAATGTATAATGCTTATACAGTAAAATATTAATGTACGAGTACCACATCTAAAATAAATCATACCTCATTATTCTACATCTTTTAAGAATGTGCACACTATACAGAGCAGCCAGTATTGCACAAGACTTGGACACTATTCACATAAAGGCAACCAAGAAAGGTATCACCTGGTCAGCATGTCACAGAACATGAACAAGGTGGTGTATTGAGTGCAATGTTCACAGGGTACTTAATGAGTACAGCGGGTGCAATGTTCACTGGGTACTGTAATGAGTACAGTGGGTACAATGTTCACTGGGTACTGTAATAAGTACAATGGGTGTAATGTTTATAGGGTACTGTGAGTACAGTGGATATAACGAGTTCACGAAGTGTGACGAGTATAAGCTGATATGATGACCACAAAATTTAGATTTTCAAGGGAAATGACTTTTTGTTGGTCATATCTCTGCGATTAACATAGTGAAAGGTTTAAGAAATGCGTCACACTAATCATTGGTTAAGAAGGACTTAGGAGATTGGGGACATACCCCACTAATAAAAACTATTAAGTACAATACTTTTACACACTAACACATCAGGAATGACAACGATACACCTTTGTTCAAACCTGCCAAGTTGAAAAAAAAAAGCAAAAACACTGTGTCAAATACTGAACATGCTAACATTTATTTTAAGATTTTAACCATTGACATAAAAAATATAAAATTGCTGTCTTACCTCTACATCACTGTCAGTTGCCATAATTCCCTGAAATTAAAAACAGGAAATCAGTCCAATACTAGATGAGCCCTCTATTGAGGACTTTACCTTTGACATTTTTTGTGTATGAACCACCTATTTTTTTAAGTACAGAACTAATACTGGCCGTTTTCAAAACACATTTATATTTTTTATATCGATATCTGTTTTTTTTGGGGGGGAGGAGGGGGGGGGGTGATTGTAAGAGGAGCATAAGCATCACTTTACAACTTCAGAATTGCTTTTAAGTACTGTATATGGATGGTGAAATACTAAGACACTGTTGCAGAGTTGATCCAGTAAATAGAAGCAGTTTGATTTTATATGTACCATAAAATCAAAGTTTGTTTAGTAGCAAAATCTTTCTGTCAAACCAATAGTGCCAATAAATCAAAAGCCATCAAATCAAGACACCATTATGCAGTACAGTACTGTACTGTACAAGTACTTACTGTGCACATTTATCGCAGTAACAATCCACTTTCCTCCACCTTCTTTTAGGTTTGCTTCAAGCTTCTATCCCCTGGGTCCTGAATTTGTCCCAGTGTCTTATATACACTTCTCGTCCTGACCATCTTGACCATTTACGTGTACATTATCCGGTACAGTACTGCTCTTTCTGCTGGATATATAAAAATACATCATTACCCTAAAATAATTAAAAATATTAAACAGGAAAATTTACTTTCAACAATAAATTTAATATTTTAAAGTACGATACAGTATGTACTTGAAATCAAGTACCTGTACCATAATACTGTAGTAATACTGTATTACTGTAGTAATATTGTATTACTGTAGTACATACCAGGCACAAGATGTCACATGACTTTGTTTTTTGTTTTTTTTTACATGTGATGTGCAACCCCACAACAGTCAACTGTTATGGGGTTGCATCCTGGGGAAGGTCAGTAATCTGACCTTGGGTGGGACATCAATATAAGCCTAATAAATAAATATAAATAAAAAAAATATATGTAAAATAAATGAATGAATGCTTGTACAGTATGTACACAGATTGCTTGTCCCCGACTAAGTGAATTATTATTAATTACAGTACAGTATTATTATTATTATTATTTTTTTGATAAGTTCTTACATTCTTGTACAGCCACTAGCCTGCATAGCATTATGGGCAAATCCTTAATACCTGTATAGGTAAAGTCACCCCCACTTTCAGTACAAGTTGCAGAAATATATTAGTAGTCTCAATATAATTTAGTGTTTAAATGGTCACCCTTATTAAAAAGTTTCATTTAGTATGTAACAACATATCAAATGTGGCACGTGCGTAATACTTATAGTTTAAAATAAGAGATAAACTTATCATTGCCCACTTGCTAATCATTGCCACTGGTAGAATAGCAAACACAATTATAATAAACTTGCAATTATATATGCACTTTGGTATTTATGAAATACAGTATGTAATGAATTAATAAAATTAATATGCTAAAATAAATATAGTACAGTACAGTACTGTATCATGTTTAAGAAAACTTGATTGACAACACTTGTATGTAAATGAAACACACATAATTAATGTGACACCACATCTAAGAGGTCTAAGGTATGGGTATTTCAATTACAAAATAAGAAATAGTCTTTATTTGTTTTAAAAAATTAGAATACTGTACTGTACACTATAGTAGATTGAGTGAGGGGGAATTATCAGGAGAAAGTGCCAAGCCATTATGACTATATAGCACTTGGAAGGGGTCAGGATAAGGATTTGGGATGGGAAGGGGGAGGGAATTATCAGAGGAAAGCGCCAAGCCATTACGCCTATACCTGTATAGCACTGGGAAGGGGTCAGGATAAGGATTTGGGATGGGACAGGGGGAAGGAATGGTACCCAACCACTTAAGATGGTTGGGGATTGAATGCCGACCTGTATGAAGCGAGACCGTTGCTTTACCGATACAGTACATGGAGAAACTACTGAGGTACAAAACAGTGATGTGAGATGACCCTCCCACAAAAAAATAGTAGTTCAGTAGATTGGCATATACCGTATTTGGTTTTAAGTTTACATACAGTAGGTACAGTACAGTATATACCTTTAAGGCATGATATGAACATTATGTGCTAAAAACATGTACTACAGTATATTAGGAATATATTTAAAAACAAAAAAGACATAGAAAAGCTTTAAGGTTAACAGGGGAACTCAGACACAGTAGTTTGTAAATGAAACTTCAAACTAAAAGTGGACTATGTCATCGATGACATCACACACGGGTGTTGACCAAGTGTATTTTAATTGGATTTATACCAAGTGTATTACAATTGGGTATCGTGCAAGGTAGTGTTTGAATTTGATATGCACCAAGTACATTTTTAATGCAAGGAATATTTGTATTTTAATATATGTAGGCTTATATATGAGAACTAGAGAAGCTAAAATTAACCTGTATAAGCCAATGGGGCAATGAGCTTTTTGGAAACAGGCAAATTGATGTTGCATTTTTTTGGAAACAGGCCTAAGGGATTTTTTTTTTTGGGTATAAAATGTAGAAGCACATTAAATAACCCAACCATGAATTCGAGCAAAAAAATTTTTTTTTAGTAATATGATATGACTGATGACATGGCATGCTTCAGCTGGGATAGGATTGATGAATGTCAAAAATTTTTATTTGCTCAGCTAAATGAACTAGAGGGTTCAGTTCCTGAACCGATTATGTGCCTCTGTAATCCTTTACACCACCACCCATGGGATGAGTATGGGGTGCATAATAAAGAAAAAGAAAGAATAGGTTTGATTTTAACCTTACTGGTTAACTTAGTGATGGCTGGAAAATATATTGTAATGGCCACATCACGACATGCAACTATTTTAAATAATTTCTACTTGTTTGTTTTCATCATACAATAAATTTAATTATGTGACAACATGCAAGTAATGTTGAATCACTTTTATTATTTTATATACACAAATGGAAGGAAAGCTCTACGCTCCTTAAAGTTGGAAAACAAGAAAACTATCGTAAATATATATAAACATTATATAAATATATTTTTACAACTCACTTTACATTGACGTGTATTGGAGAATAAATGAAGATTATGGGGATACTGAAAGAGGCAGATATACATGTTCAGAAATATTAAATCTTTTCCTAGAGCCCCCCTCCCAACTATGACATCACACCAAAACAAATCATTCACCCAATGAGCAACCTCCATGACATAACCCCAGCCAATGAGCGACGTCCATGTGAAGCTCGCCAACCAATCTCCTTCCTCCAAGTTAGAAACACCACTCGTCTGTTTACGCTATAGACGATAGAACACAGATTCTCTAATAAAGAGGATCTGTGAATAATGCTTTCATTTTGCAATTTATGAAATTATATTAACATTTAAAATATACCAGTATATCACAAAAGTAATATTATGTTAATGTTAATACAACTATTATATAATCAAAGATGGTTTGTTAGAAATATAGATAAGGAATGAGAAGCATTAAGTTGGCCTATAAAGGTTTAGAGTTTATTCGTAACCCCCTTTATACCCATCGTTGCGACTGGGCTGAAATCTTATGACACCATACCCTGCCGACCAATGGGCGTTCTCCACTTGTATCAACTCCAGAGCAATATCTGCGGCAGTCGTCGGGCAGTGAGGAGTGAGGGAAGGGACTTCAGGCTGTGACAGACGTGTCCATACAGCGGAGTCATGAAGATCTTTTTGTTCGTCGCCCTTCTGGGGGCTTCTCTTGTCGAATCGAAGGTGTTTTTCGAAGAGAAGTTCGCCGATGCAGGTAAATATTGATTTTTCGTGGTAAATGGAACTTGAGGTTATGTATGAGAGGTGGTGGCCCGGCTGGCTACCGGTGGCTATGGTAATGGGCTAGTTCCTTGTGGATATGTGATTATATCTATATCTATGTCTTTAGTAGTTACTTAACAATGGATGTAGAGCCATGCGTGTCATGAAGGCTTTGTGGGGGAAGAATTATAGAAAGCAGAGCTGTAAATTTAATTCTAATGGACCTTTAAATTTTTAGTTGGTCATATCTATTTAAAATGGTAAGTTTTTAATTTTGGGGCCAGTCTTTATAAGGGATGTAATGTGGTGATTGACATTCTTCGCTACCCGATTTCTTACTCCTGACAAATCTTCAAGTTTCTAGAAACTTGAGCTTGGTGTTAATCATGTTCCTTCACACTTGTGTATTGATTTTCCTTTTTATATAAACAAAGATCTTATATGAAAGATAATCTAACTTAGTAAAAAAAAAAAATTGTGTACTTATAATTCCCAGATAGTTGTGGCCAGTTTCCAACCACCTTGTTGGGGTGGGCTGAACGTTGGGGAGCTGGTATGGCCCAAATTTTGGCTTCTAGAGTTGAGAACAGTAGTACTAGGCTTGGGTCTCAAATAGGCACAGACCTTCCCGATCCCCTCTTTGAATGCTGCTAAAGTTGCTTTGAGCAGTTACCTAAATACAACATATATTTATTCGGGTAAAGTCCATACTAACAAGGTACAAAAGTTGATGGATTTATAGATGAGCTAGTACATACAATGCCCAAGCCACTATTACGCAAAGCGTTTCGGGCAGGAAAAGCACTTAAGATTAAAACTTGATGCTAATTGAGATTAAAGTATAAATTGTTGAGAAAAAATAAATGAAAAAGGGAAGAGGGGGGGGGGGGGGAACATGGCAGAAAAAAAAAATAAAATTTGGTCAACAAACAGCATAGTTTAAAATCGTAGACATAGGTTGACATGACCTATATCATTAGATCAGGCAGTGAAAGGGAAGCTGCCCTGAATGCTTGCATTTCCCTGAAGATTTGTGACAACTTGACCACAATAGGGCGAGGAAGTCTGGCAAAATTGAGGCATTGACAGCCATTGTCAGAGGCAGTTGACTCCACCAGAGCTGTCGGGCAGTAGTTTCCACAGATATTACCATTTCATATTTCAATGTTTAATTTATTTTTTCAGTAATATTCAAATGTAGTGATATATTTGTGTGAATTGCTACTCAAAATTTTGGTATGCATATTAGTGATTCACTTGTGTTTGTAGTGTTTATTACACTATATACATAGGTTATATATATAGGGCATGTTTTATTCACTGTAACAAAGTTGATATGTCATAATGCGTGGCTACCACACACCAGCCAGCAAACACCACCACCTTCCCTCCTCACTCACACTTGCCAACACTCCTCCAATTATACTACTTTTGCTTTTGTTCACTATAGACATTATATAATGTTTAGTTTACCATAACTGTACAACTAGGCTGGTATGGTGAGTTAACACTAAAGACTTCGCCCCACACAGCAGACACTGCCTCCTCTCCCTCACTCGTTCAAGGCCAGTATGCAGTCTAAGGGTTAACCAGATACAGCTAAATGCTGTTCCACACCAATTATTGCATACGTTGGTTTCAATTTTTTTCTTAAACTGTAGCCATCTTGTGTGGTTATGCCAATGTTACCAGTTTCCTACGTACTGTAAATGTTTGTGAAAAATGTGCAATAGTTTATAGTATTTTTCATCTGCATATTTTCTCCCCTATTAGGGAAGACTGAAATTGTTGCAATTTGAGTCTTAGCATGTAAATGGCAAATGCTGTGAGTGAAAATTTGTTAGGTAAATACATATTTGCTATGCTAAAAAATGACTGTTATAAATTACAGCTGGCCAGAAACAAAGCATTTGACAATTTCTGAACCATTCTTTTAGACCAGAAACTTGGTACCTTGCTACTGAATTCTATAGCATGCTACTAAAGTTTTATTAAAGGCTTGTTTTAAGTTATTACATTAAATATTTTTAACATGAAACCATTTCTTGCAGATTGGGAATCTCGTTGGGTTCAATCTGAACACAAGGGAAAAGAATTTGGCTCGTTCAAATTAACTCCTGGAAAATTCTATGGTGATGCAGAGAAAGACAAAGGCCTTCAAACTAGCCAGGTAATTGTTTAAAGTACACCTTTACTATAAACTAATGGATGGATATAAGTTTTTTATATTTTGATTGCATACACTTCCCTAAAGGTTGTAGCTCTTATTTATGCTATTAATTGCAGGATGCTCGTTTTTATGGCCTATCTTCGAAGTTCGCGCCCTTCAGTAATAAGGACACTCCATTAGTTGTACAGTTCTCAATTAAGCACGAACAGAATATTGACTGTGGTGGTGGATACGTGAAAGTATTCGACTGTTCACTTGACCAGAAAGACATGCATGGTGAATCTCCATACCTCATTATGTTCGGTAAGTTTTATGGAAAGTTTTACTATTCTAATATTCTAGCCTTACAGTAGAATGTTGTCCAATGTCTGATTCTGTGAATGTATAGTACAGTAAACTGTTTGGAATTTCCACTTTATGTAATTTTTGCTGCATTGGGAATTTCTCTAGACCTGATAAGTTACTTGTATCATAGCTTCTAAACTGTAACACTCATTATAATGGTCACTATTGGTTTAAATGTAAAATTGCTAATCCTTTACCTAGTCAAAAGATAAGCAACTAAAATGTGCTAAAGCCTGGGTTAAACCTTACTGGTAATGAAGCTGTATTAATTTTTAATTGTAAACGTCTTATTTTAAGACTTCCTGGGGTAGTCTTAAAATGTTCAGATAACATTGTCTGAATAGGGAATTGTGGAACATAATATAGGGTGAAACAATTTCAAAATCTGAATTTAATATCTGGTCTTCCCCCTTAACAATTGTAGCGAGCTTCATAATTGGCCTGAATGCATTTGGAAGTAAATAAGCAGCCTTCATTGCCGAACTAAAATTTCTTGACTTTCATCGGATAATACAATCATTGAACAATTGTCATGCTTGAATTGACAGTGCATACATTGCCATTGGCTGCTTTAGATAAAAATTTGCAACTTTTGTCTTCATTGACTAGTGCATACAATTGCTGGCAAATTTAAAAACCTTAAAATTGCAGAAGTGAAGGCAGGTTATGGCTGGCTGATTTGCTCCACCTTTAATCCATATTTGAAATTAAAATGTGGATTGAAGGTGGCAAAATTAAGACCTTAGCCAGGATGCAACACGTCTATAAAACTTAACCATCTGTTACAAAGCAAACAAGTGTTTGGTAATGTATAGCAGTTGGGTTATGAAGCTATTTTGCCAAGACTTATCTCCTTGTTAGCTACCGATTACCATTACTTAAGAATTGTGCTGCAAAAATATAAAATTTACTGTAGAATTAGTGAAATTTGCCTCTATGCTAAAGATTTAAAAATAGAAATAAAAAAATTCTAAAGCTTCCTTAAATTAACTAGTTTGGCTAGCTGGCTTGCCTGTCAGTGGTGCATAGAAAAATAGCTTGCCGAACTAATGTAAAACTAATTTGATCAAAGTGTGAGGTAATTGCAGGGTGATTTGAGCAAAAATTACTTTGACGCTCCTAGAAATGTTAGTGTGGCAATGCAGTAAAATGTGTAGTTTGAGTGGTACTGTAATAACTATTAATCAGTACCATGTATAAAAAATTGGCAAGGGGCTTTTGTTCACTTTGTGAATGTGCCAAACTGATGACATCTGTAACAGATTGTCTTGGACATGGTAATTAGACCTTGCAAGAATTGATATTGCTTGGGGAAATGATAGTGTGGTTAGAGTTCATACAGTAAACCTGTAAATTTCTGGGATATGCCAAACTTGCAGGTCTTTAATTGTTTAAAGGTCGTGTGCACATGCACATTTCTAGACCTAGCTCCTTATGAATGTGAAATGAAATGCAAACTCAAAGCATGTTTACTACTCACTCGAAATACAGCAAAGCTAGCATTTTGCAGCAATTGGCCCATATAGTGAGAGCTCATCACTTAAATTGCTCTAATGGGCATCAGTTCAGAATGCCAAATAGCAATGGCTGTATAGAACACGCCAATGTACATGCCATTTTTTAGAATTTCTAGACATGACAATCGCAATTGTTTCTTGAACCATTAGAAAGAAACCAAATGGGCACAAACTGAAATTTTCCCTATTGAACCAATAGGAAAAATTAACACATTTTTAATATGCTTGCTGTTTTTGGCTAATGCTCCACCTTTTGGTTGACAAAAGGTGGATGAACAGTTGCTTCCCAGATGTGTAACGTTCACTAGTACAACCACTTGAATAATAAAATGGAAAATGCAGCACTAAAGTGGATAAATGTTGTCTGCTTTAGTTACCCTATTAACTTGAATTTAACACTTGGGATTATCAGGTACAAAGCAAATTTGTAATTTGTGAAAATATGAAATGGGGTAAATTGTTCCTCATTTAAACTTTTGCCTGGAAGTGAATACATTGCTTGTATAATACAACTTTGATTATATTACACAGGCTCTTGTTGCTTATTTAGCTAATTAATGACAGCATTCTTAATGTTTGGGAAGATTTGTACTTTGCCACTTTAATTTGACTTTCTAGTTCAAAATTAACTGACCTGACTTTCAATTAAGTTTCAAGTAATTGTGTGCATTAATGTGATAGCTTAAGCCATGCATTACTAGTCTTTGTAAGCAATGTTCATTATTCTTCACAGGACCTGACATCTGTGGTCCAGGAACAAAGAAGGTTCATGTTATCTTCAACTATAATGGAAAGAATCACTTGATAAAGAAGGAAGTAAGATGCAAAGACGATGTGTTCTCTCACCTCTACACCCTCATTGTTAAACCTGATAACACGTATGAGGTTCTAATTGATAATGAAAAGGTACAGTCTGGAGAGTTGGAGGAAGACTGGGATATTCTTCCACCCAAAAAGATTAAGGATCCTGAAGCAAAGAAACCTGACGATTGGGATGACCGCCCAACTATTGCTGATCCCGAGGATACAAAGCCAGAGGACTGGGACCAACCTGAACACATCCCAGATCCAGATGCTACAAAGCCTGAAGACTGGGATGATGAAATGGATGGCGAGTGGGAACCTCCCATGATTGATAATCCTGATTACAAGGGTGAATGGAAGCCAAAACAGATTGATAATCCTGACTACAAAGGACCATGGGTACACCCTGAAATTGATAACCCTGAGTACACGCCTGATCCAGAAATTTATAAATACGATGAAATATGTGCTATTGGTCTGGATCTCTGGCAAGTAAAGTCGGGTACCATTTTTGACAATTTCTTAATCACCAATGACATTGAAGAGGCAAAGAAGATTGGAGAAGACACCTGGGGAGCCACTAAAGATGCTGCCAAAAAGATGAAAGAGGAGCAGGATGAAGAAGAGCGCAAGAAGGCAGAAGAGGAGGCCAAGGCTGCGGAAGCAGACAAAGAGGATGAGGAAGAAGATGAAGACCTTGACGATGAAGACGATGATGATTTAGAGAATGAGAGAGATCACGATGAACTGTAAAAAATTTAAGTTCATAAAGGCAGTTGGTTAAAAACTGCCTAACTTGTACTTCAACATCAAAGTACTGCAGATTGAAACTGTTGATCATAAACTGGGTCAGGGGCTTCAGTCTATTCTAGTCAAGGAACTTCCAAATATGCAGTAGCACAACAATAACATTCCAGTAGCCACTGTTTATTGAAGGTTTCATGACATAACATTGCCCTTAATGGGTAGGTTCGCATGAGTCATGACCATTTGCAATCATCCCAATCATCGCCATAGTGAATGCAGCACAACCATGTATGTTTGTACAAGCCAGTGTTAGTGCTGTTACTGTAAGACCTGATTTAGTTCTGGCAGCACAAGATGTATGTTGAATGAGTGGTTTCCAATAAACACGATTAGAATTTAGTGTTTTATTAAACTACTAAATTTACTGAACATGTTAATGAATCCTTGGTGTAAAGTTGGTCTTGAGTTTTGCAGGTTTCGTTAATTTATTGTGGACCCCATACTTGTCCTCTGGGCCAGTTGTAGAAGAAAGGTTGAGGCAATTGTCATGGGAACAACCCCTCCAGGGTTTTTCCTTAAAGATTGCCTGCTGGAGAGGCAAGGTGGGATTCCCTCTTTAAAATGTTCCCCCCCACCCCCACCCTGAAGTTAAACTTTAAACTAAATACTAGTGTACAATATTTAAATTTTAAAATAAGGGTACTCGGCCAGCTTTAGATGCAGGTTTTCATGCATTTGAAGGGAGACCCTAGCAACATGGTGGAAAAACTGGAAAATGCCATTTGTATATGCATTACCTTGTTAAATTTCTGCCACTGACTGGTCTCGTCTGTCAATGATTAATGCTGGTCTTTGGTAGCTTTGCTTAAACGGTTTGGATGCAATTAAGAGTGGCGATACTTTGTGCTTCCTGAATATCCAGCCACATTGATGGTCACATACACCTGGCTTGGGGCTGCCTTTTAATAATTACTTAGGTAATACCAGGCCTCAATGCTGTACAAACTAAGTAAAGGGGAAGGGGGGGGGGGAGATTCTTAATAAATTTTCTACCTCTGCTCCATAATTTAATCTGGAATTGGGAGATTTAATCAGGATTTGCTGGGTTCAGCTATATTTATATTTAATTAAATGAGCATGTGGATTCTGTTAAGGAAGCATTTGTCCAATTTCCCAGAAAGACCCCTATTTTTACACATTTTCTGCCATCCGTAAATACATGTCAGCAATGCTAGTCTTGTATCAGTGGCAGCAATGCATGCTCTTAGGGTTAGCATTTTCTTAGTCTCTTACTGCCATAACTGGTAGTGGGGAACTGCTCAAGCGAGGGTTGCATATTGGCCATACAAGCGACTCATGGGCACTTGGAATGCTGCCCTGCTCCTCCTTGTCAAAACTGTATTGTCCCTCTGTTGTGCATCTTGTTGAATGTCCTAATCTTCCAGATTCTTTTGCAGTCATTTGTCCCTCAATAGACCCTTTGGTGAATTGGATACCTTTAATTAATATCACTTGCCTTGTGCACTCTTTCTTCTACTGGCATCCTTGGTAATATTTGGTGCCTGTAAATATTCTGCAACTGTGATGTTGTGTTCCTGGTTTGGTGCCTTTTGATACTCAATTGATCTACCAGCAGTTTTTTTTTTTTTTTTAACTTTAGGCCCCCCCCCCCCTCCCCTTAAGCCCAAACCTTGGGCCAGGTGCTGAACCACTTGGATTATTTGGCAAGTGTCCCAGAGAATGAATTGTTAAAGCAGTCTGTCCTTGATTACAACAGCTGAATATACTTTTGTCATAAAGGACAAAACCTGTAAAAGCTGTTTTACTGCTAAATCCAGCAGCAAAAACCTAATTCAATGTAAAATGCTTGCATAAAAACCACTGACTCGAACAGTACTTTACTGATGACTAAAATCTCAACTGTGTATGCTAGAAAAAATCTACTTGCATTTTACAGTACGTTAAAATTGATGAATGCACTTTAGAAGTTTGCTGCCACTTTGAGCCTGGCTGGACAGGATTCTTACAAAGCGGGTTTACTCCGTAATGTTGGGTGCACAGTGAGGGCATGTTAGCCCAATTATACTCTGTTTATGGTTCAAACTGGTCAACCAACTTGAAGACATGAACAGGAGGGGGAAGGTTGGTCACTAACAGTGCTGATGTTTCTTTGGTCATTTATTGACTTGGTTTTCTAGAATTATCCTGTTAAGAGGGTAGTCAGCCTTTGGTAAGGCATGGGATGCACATAGCTTCGACTTGCTTACATGCTCTACAAAGTTTCCAAAGCCTTTCTGCACTTGTTTCCAAATGCGATAAAAGGTTAAACGCAGTAGCTTTAACACACAAGTTGTCATAAACTACACTTCTCTACCCTCTTGATCATGTCAATTCTCTTTCCACTTTGGCTCTTTTTGATTACTTATCGGTTGGGGGTCTTCGATTAACTCTCCTTCACATGTTACCCAACAAATATGTAAGGCATCTTTGTGCAGTAAGGTATATAGCAACACTGCCTGTCTTTGACCTTGCAGCTACTTATTTTATTCCTTGTACACCATAAATGCCAACAATCTCCATACCAAATTTTATCAAAGCATTTCAAGAGCTTAGTTGCTACATGGTGTGGTGCAAACAGCAGTTTGCAGGAAAAGGCAGCATTAACAGGATGGAAGGTGGGATTTATGCTCTGAAGATGGCAAATTTTCTAAGTACAATACTGTAAATTTACTTTTACAGTGTAATTTTATTTTGTCACTTTTTCCCACAGAATATTGTTCTTGACCAAAATTTCTCTTGGATCAGTAGGTTATGTAGCTAAACTTGCTATAGTGCACAAGTAATATGCTATAAAATTTTGCATCACTAACGAAGGGCTACTCTTGGACGTTGCCTTCCTATATGTAACCTAAAATATAACAATATTCTGTGGTTAAAAAAAATATTGGAAAATTTCCATTTTTGCCTGGTTAGAGGCACATAATGGGTTCAGGAATAATTTGTTCATTTTGGCTAGTTTAGTGAACTGCTAAATGGTTAGGTTAACTAGACAATAATTTTTTAAGTGGGAAGTTAAATTTTTTTTTGTTTGGTCTGTAAAGAAGGAAGAGGCAGCCCATAGTGTATATCCAGTTACAGATTACAATAGGGAAGATACAGGCATACATCAGCAGGTAATATTTTAATTTTCAGTACAATATGTAAATACAGTACTGTACTGTATTGCCTTAATGCTATCTAGGAATCAAATCAAAAAATTCTGACATTATTTTATGAACAGTAGTATATTTTAATTCCCCTGTGCATATTAAATTACTTTGAACCACATTTCAATTTCTTCCTATTTATTCTGGATGGCTGAGGTTGAAATAACAAGGTCTAGGAGAAACAAAGGATATGTAGCAATATTTATTGTTTGTATGGAAAGATTACATGCATTACTGTGTGTACTGTAATAAGCATTTTAAAATTATATCTATAATTAAATTTATTGTAAATATTGAAATGTGTTCAACATACAGTAATAAAATACAAATTAATTCTGTTTGTAGTTGATCTATTACAAGATGATTCAATGAAGCCAGAGTTTCATAACATTTTTGGGTAGTACAGTACAGTACAGTATTTACATGTACTATATATGTAAAGAATTTAATCCTACCAGTTTTATACTTTCTGTAGATAAAATGTTAAATGTTGTTAGATGTAAAATGTTAAAATGTTGTAGATAAAATGATAAAATTGCAATGAAAGCAGAATTAGTATTTAGTAGCTATTCATGTAAATGGTGCATTCTTTATTACATAATATCACAAGGGCAGATAATTATCCTAGGATGCTGTAATGATTTTTAACAAGCAATGTTAATTACAGGTATTTAACAAAAAACATTGAGAGCACTTAACTTACATATCAAGGTTAACATCAACATATATGGAAGACTTAATTAGGCAGCTTTGTTTTTTATGGCACTTTTTTTTTTTAGTAAAGACTGCTCGACAGTTTTGAAATTTGCTAAATACAGACAGACACAAAAAAGGCTTTATTCTTTATTTCAGTTTCTGACATTAACACTGTATTTAGGTTCAGCAAACACTGGTCTATGTTGATTGTTTTCCAGGAAACATGATCCACTGGCACAACAAATTACAATACCCTAACTCAATAAAAACTTGACGATTGATTAACCAAGTTGACCCCATGTCAACTTAAGTTTATTGCTTGCTTACTAGTCAGGAAAATGTATCAATTCTCATGAGGACAGAGCACAAAGAACTTGAAAATTTAAAGATATTAAATAAGAGGCCATATTTATAATTCATCTCCATTAAAATGTTTAGAGTTTAAAGAATGCTTGGAGAAAATCCTAACCATTCAAATTCATCACAATTTGTCACTAAAATAAAATGCAATTGTAGTTTTTAACTAGAAATGTTAAAACCTAATCAACCTCCCTAACCCATCAAGGCCAATGTTAAAGCTTCACTAACATGATGCTTTAATTTTTACTAAAACCTATAAATTTCTACCGATAGGTTGATTCCATTAAAAATTACGATATGTTCGAGGGGAGAGGAGGAGTTGTCCAATTAATGAAGTTAAGCTTTTAAAGGATTTTCTGGCTAGTGCCATAATGTTTCCAGACAGGCACTTTAGCATTTTGACAGGCAGGATATTGAAGACTGATTAGAAGGATGCTAATGACCCAGGTTATGAGATTGTTCAGAGTATGTTGGTATAGTGGAGAAAGGCAGAGAAAAGCATTCCAGTCTGAGGGTGATCAAGATACATCTAAGCTCCACTAAGGCAAGTTGAAATTTTATTAAATTGATTTATTTACATGAAGTTGCTCCCCTAAGGTCATATAACTTGGTCTTCATCCAAAATAATTTTTCCTGCCTCTACCAGTAGATGCCATCATGTTAAATTGGTTCTCATGCACAACATACCCAACATGAATCTTAGTCTTGCCTTAATTACTGTGAACTCGTGCCTTTCTCAGTACACACATTCTTAGCATGATCTGACTTGGCAATCTGCTCTACTATTGTCTAATTTGGTTCTCTCTTTACCTTCAGTGTATTTTTTTCTTTTACTCTTAATTCATACTGTTTATTTTCTTTTGCTTCTCCTTTTATCCAGGGAGTTTTCTTTAGCTTTTTTTCATGCATTACTTTCTCCACATACACCTCACTATCTCCTCTCACCTTACAATGGCTTCCTCTCCTTGTGTCTCGGTGGAAACTTAGAGGCAAGGTATGTCAGTCGTGAAGGAAACGTAATTGCAGATTTTTTACACTGCATAGTTATGCTGTTCAGTACTTGATTCTCCTGACAACCGCTAGTAGCATTCATTGGGTTCAGGGGGCTTCTTTTGTAGGTCAGAGAACATTGTCAAACATTATAATGATTTTTAAATGAAGGCAAATGGACTGAGGTCGATTTTAGCATTCTAAGGGGTATTTTCAGCCATCGACAGCTCTCCCTTATCACAGCTAAACAGTTAAATTAACAATATACATGTTGAAATGTAATTGTAAAGATAAGCAGACTCATTGGTTATTACATTAATTTAAGTGCTATTCTTAAGTCATTTTTCATAAATTCTGTGCTATATACCAGTACTGTACTTAGCATAATGAACCCCAAACTTAAGGTGGTTTGTAAAGTTACTCAAAGGAATATTTTATACCATGAATTAGTTTGTGGTACATTATATATTTTGACCAATTTTTGTGTTTTAGAGCTATTCAGTTCTTGTTAAACATTTCTTAAAGTATGTGATACTATTGCTATTGTTTATTTTTATACCTACAGTAATATATAATTACAAAAGGCACGTGTTAAATTTCATTATCTAGGACAGTATAGTACAGTACTGTCAAGTATTATTGTACTTATGATCAAACTTTGCAATATTCAGAATGCTCTCGAAATTTCCAGGGAGTGTGCGGACTGTGCCAATAAGTGCCGAGACATTTGGGTTATTGTATTTAAAGTCTGCAAAGGTTTAGTTGGGAGTGTGACTACCAGAGGTCTATGGGGGTAAAGTTGCCTTGATTAGATGAACTTTGGTGAGCAGTGATTCCTTCCTAACCTTAGTAAGGAAAACATGTCACCCCCTCATCTTACCACAGCCTCAGCAACTATGAGGTAGGAAAGTCATATTTAGTCTATGTTATTAATGATAATTAAATTATTTGTAATGGCAAAAGTGTCTCTCTGTACTTGTGTTAGTATGGTTGATGACAACATTGAATAGCATGAAATACATTCTTTGAAAGTGGAAGAACATGCTGGGACAGGCCCCATAGGGGCTCACAGGGAAGGTTGATTACTCCTACACAAATTTATGTATGCACACAGACCAAAAATATTGCAACTAGATTTGTTTATCTTTACTATATTTGCCACACCGAAAGTTTGGTAAATAGGAATTTGTACTTTATTTTTTCCCTAAGCTTCATTTTGTTATAACTTAGAAAAAATATTTTAGAATTATTGTTTTGTCAGGAGGCTTTTGAACTGTCAAAAACAAAAAACAAAAATTATGTGGGAGGTAGCATTCAAAGATAGCTCGGTGAACCTTTTAGATGTTGGTGTGGCAAAGCTGTGTGACAGCCAATCAAGTATGAGCAGTCATGTGATAGATTTTTATAAACTACAGTATGAGAGAAGTTGTTTGACTTCTATTGGCCAAAAAACAAGATATAAGGAGTAGGATCCAAATAGCAGAGCAAGGTCAAGATTAGCTCTTTTCAACAAATCTACATTTCAGTTCCAAAAGGTCATAGGAGTAGCATAAGCTCTACACAACTGATGAAAAAGAAGATTCCCGGATGTAAATAGGCAGAATTGTATATGAATTTACTGAATTGTATCGGAAGATACAACTTTCCTATTTTAAGACTTTAGTAGTAAAGTTGCGTACCTTACTACCAAAGTCTGGGTATTGATCTTATTACAAGATTTATATGTTGGCTGCATCAGTTTAGTTTACAAAATGTGTGAAATAACTTAAATTATACATAATTTACAAAAATGAATATTGTACCTATGCCTACAAAGAGATATTGCATGTAAATATGTTCTTGACATAACTCGAAGTTAGGGTTACATAGAATTACCCAAACCCACCCAAAGCCTCTTCAAATTATGCAAATAAAGAGGAAATAATTTGCTTACTGTAATATTGGTGCTGAATGTCAAACAAAGAAAACTATTTTACTTGGAACTAAGCTCATTTTATATCAAATGTTGGAGGAGAGTTACTGAAATATGTTAAGGATTTGAGTGTCTCGTGGACTTTTATACCCACCACCAATTTTGGTCTTTTGTTATATTTCTCAGTAAAACTTTTTTTTTCATTTTCTATATTTGGCATAACATTATAGTAAATATATTTCCTCTTATGTAATTTATGGAGGCTGTGGGTAGCTTTGAGTAATTCTGTGGACTGAAAGGAAAAGACATCTTGCACCCACCCCTATGCTGCTATTGTCTGAAAATGTTGTCCAGGAATATATTCAAACACCAACAGGAAACTCCAAATTGTGATTTGGTGATAATTGCAATTAAAAGAAAAATTTTTAATGAGTGGGACAAACAGGCAAGTTGCATTTCACCTACTGCCTGTTCATCTAACAGCAAAAAGGTGCCCAAGAATGGACTGAATCTTCCCCAGGACTGTATCCTGTGGAAGGTCAGTAGTTCGACCAGGAAGGAAAATCAAGTTATGATAACCACATTACTCTGGGGGTGTGTGTGAAGATAACCACTTTAAGGGTTAGATGTAACCTATCCTCATGGCCTTCCTTCAGTCACAATTGTAACCTCAAAGACATTGTGGATATCATCGAAAAGGAGAACCTTCCTGTGATACTAACTAATCTTGAAATCTCTGGTTGTGCCATTGGAGACTGCGTGACTGTGAAACTGACCTTCTCCACCATCGCCCATGCGGATTTGCTGCCACACAAGGGCTCAAGTGCTTCAAAGTTAAGATTTCACCAGCCATGATCAAGAAGGAACGCTACTACACTCCACAACAGTGCCTAAAGTGCTACCAATATACTCATTCTACCAAGAAATGCATGTAATTCAACACCAAGTGCATTATCTGCACAGAAGATCACTACTACACCGTTTCCAAGGCCAAAATCCAACGCTGTCTCGTCTGCAATGATGACCACGTGGCAATCTCCCATCGCTGTCCGCACCAACAAGAAGAAATACGGAAAATCAAGGACTTGAGGCGCCCTGCATCCTTCACTATTTGACGCAGCTTGCCGAGCACCATCGTCATTCAACATCTAAGCTGCCACTTTCCCAGAGCTCCGGGAAAGAGGATGAGCTACCATGCAGCAACCCAGCTAATGGGGGCCCAGCTCCCAGTCCACCAGCCATTCATTGACCCAGCCGTCGCCACCACCCTATCACAGACAACCACCGACCCAGTCGATACTGGCTCCTAACTCACTACACAGCATGGTGTATGCTCTAACCACTGTGGCTGGCAAGATTGCTGGCCCCAACTACCAGGAATATGTGAGGATTCTGAACATACTCTATGCTGCAAATAGCCTTCCAACTTTCACTGTACCTGAGATAATCTACACCACTACACCAGTTACGAATTATACCCAGGCCTCTGACCCAGACATCATTGAATGTTGGTGCACTCACAGATCTACTGTCCACTGCTGCAATGTCCATTCCCACAGTGATAGTGAAGGAAGCAGCCCCGGAACCGATGCCTCCACATCCGATGACATCTGCTGCAGCTCCACCCACCATTCCTGCATCTGCTTTTGATTCAAGCAATTCGTCAGACGAAGATGTCTCAGAGCGCCAACTACCCCTCCCCCCCCTCAACAGAAGGGCAACTACAGACTTGAAGTTTTCCTTTGGGACACCACCTCGAACGACAACACTGCAATATCAACAAGAAGCAAGACTACCGAACGACCTAAGCTTGATGGAAAATGCCAGAAGAAGAGCTCTGAAGTCAGAAGACCTAAAATTGAAGCAACACCAATAACTACCACCAACTACCTAGGAACCGAGCCCCTGTGCGATGCCCATGGATGTAAATGGACAAGCACACCGTACAGTATCACTGCCAAGTCAAACCCATGATGGTTGGGCCACCGAGCTGTACTTGTACCATGTTCCCTGCATCCTCGCCCTAGCCTCCCATTCCAAGCTTACCAACCCTAGGGTTTTTATTCGATTGTTACACCTTAGTTGTACCTCTTCATAGTATGCCTAGATTTTTAGAATTATCATAAGTCAATTTCCCAATGTTCCTTAGTCACTTATTCCTCAATATAAATAGTGAATCGGATGCCTTTGCTGTTGCTCATTTTTTTTTCTCTAGTTTGCATAGAATGCCTTTTAAATATCCTACAATGCAGATGGTGCTAGTCTTCCCAGCTTGGTGCCTTAATTTGATAATTACTTGCTAACCCAAATATGTCCTGCTGTAGGAATTGTACCTTTCAGATGTAAATTAACAGTGCTATAGAATAATTGCCAGATGAGTGTTTAAATTTTGAATTGTACAGTCTTCCTCCCCCCCCCCTACAGTATTAGTTTTAACACTAAGATTATTACAGTAAGTAATGGACTGCAAGTAAGGTCATTTGGTAGATGTTGCAAGGTTAGATATTGACAGTAGGAATTGACACACTTCAATAAGCCTGTTGCTATACAATCTTGGTGTAAACTTATTACGAGTAAAGTGTTACACCCAAGAAAATGCCACACATCTTTAATACTCCACAGAAACTGAAAAAAATAAACAGTTACTCTTAAGAAGTGTTGAATATGCCAAGAGATTAAATAGCAAGGATTGAAGCAACATCTTTTATTATTGTCTTTGTCATTCAGAATCACTATAATGCTACACAAAAACCATCCACAGAAGCAGACCGACTGGTAGAATATGCTACTATAGGATAACACTATTTGCATATGTTGACTTGCCATTCCCACAAATCTTCAATATGTACTAAAAAATAGTTTATAATGTTCTGGACTTCAAGCACATGAGCCTCAACTCTTTATACTAAATGAAACATCTGAGTAACACACATCCAACAATTAATACTGTTCTTGTTAATGGAAGCGGGTATTGCATACATGTTACATCAGTAAAAATACTCAAAACAAACACCTCTTGCAATACAGTACTGTATTTGATATCAAAGATGTTCCTGAACCTTAGGCATATACTGGTACTATTTACCATCCACACTGGTGAAAAACAAACAAGAAATCAGAATGCTTTGCCAAATAATCAATATATTACAAAGAACTAAAAATTCACCATATATAATAAAATTTGTAAATAATGTATATTGTCACTGTAATCTATTGTCAATACGCCAGTAAAAATTTATATTAATCCATATACAAATCTTTCTATACATCAGTAACATTCTGCAAAAGCATAGTAAGTGACCGGGGAGGATTTACTGGGCGTCAATCCTCTGTTTACCCAACAGAAGTAAACATCCATGGGTACTTGGATGTTAAGCAATGTGGCGAATCATATTCCGGGGAACATAGGACTTGAGGACCTGCCCGAAATGCTATGCATGCTAGTGGTTGTACAAGAATGTAAGAACATGTGTATATATAATAATAATAATAATAATAATAATAATAACAACAATAATAAAATGCATGTAAAAAAAAAAAATTATTCAAGTCTTGTCCCTCGCTGCCATTCTTGGCGACATACTCTTAATGTCGCTCATCTTATCCATCTTCGTTCACATAAATGACATATCTTTAACTTCGTTCACATAAATGACACGAACATTTTTTACTTGTATACTGCAGGTAGTGCTAAATAGTCTTCCAGGCCTTGGTACCTTCATTTGATGATGACTTGTTTAAATTATTTAAACAATGATTTAAAATAATTTAAATCATTATTTAAAAATATATTTAAATAATGAAGCCTAAAAAATAATAATTGCTATCTAAACCAGAAAGTAATAAAATATGAAACTGCCTTCCTGAGGTCTGGAAATAGTTGGGCTGCCACAAGATGCAAAAACAGAACAAAAATTTTTTTTCATTATTTCATAAACATCAAGTAATCAACAACAAAAAATAGTTGGGAAGAGTCTTTGAGAACTAGTTGTCATATTTCACGTCATGACAAACTATTGACTTAAATGCTTACTTATTATATAGAAGTTAACTTGGGTGAACTATACTAGAAAAACAATTTAGCACTACCTGTATTGTATTAATAAGTATAAGGTTACTTTGGTTACTTTTCTCCAATACCAACTTAACCTTAAGGTTTTGTTGTACAGTGCAACTTCGCTCAAATATATTATGATAGACCAATCTGATTAAGTAAAAAGTTATTTTTTTTCTTCTGCAAATTTTACTGTTCTGCATTTGGGGGTTGGGATTATTTTCTTTACCTAAATTTACTAAATATTTAATAAGTTTGATTTCTTCGTTGATTTATCATAAGTATGCATCTCAACCATAGAATCTTCCCTTTATGACTTTCATTATTCAAGGATTTTCACCCATTTTTCTTTTGATACCTTTTCAATTCAGTAATAATAAAATGTCTAGCAACAATTACCGCTAAACATCACAGTGAAGGGGAAGTATTTGTACGTAAAATGGGGGGTGGCAAAATTGATTAAGAAGTGTGAGCAAGACTGAAGGTAGAGGATGCTTGTAGAGCAGTTTGGTATTGGCAAATTTTTGGAGTTCATTTCCAAGAGACAGAGTTGGTGGCAGAGGTAAGCAAGTTACTGCACAGTACACTATCGTAACAGAATTCTCGACCTGTATCTACATGATGCCTATGGAGTGTTACAATGAGTAACTCCATCTCCAGGCTGAAAACTAGTCCAACCCCCCCCCCCACCCTCCCCCTCATTTTTTCAGCAATTTTACCTCCACATACAGTACTTAAATGTTTTTTAAATAATAAATAGGGTCTATATATATGGGCAAAGATGTTTTTCCATCCTTTGAAGTCAGAAAAAAAGCATAATTGCTATAAATAGAAAAATAAATGGACAGCAATCCTTAGTGAAACAACAACAGATTTGGTCCAAATTAGTCTGAGTGAGGTTACACTGTATAGAGCACGAGTTACGCTGCAGAATGCTAGGGGTAAATATTTTTACTTTGAATATTTGAATCCTTACCATGATTTTCATAACATAAGCTAGATTACGAAATATGCTGTTGGCCAACATGCCTCAAATAATCAAATGCTGAAATGCAACATTCATAATAAGCAGAATCATTCCCTGTGTTTATCAACATTTTTTGATTCAATAAAAATAATAATGAAAACGGTATATAGAAAAATAAGAATTAAAAATTAATATTCTTTAGAAAATAACTCTGATATTATTTATAATCAAATACGCTACATTTTGAGTGTGTTTACATCCCAGAGAGCACAGTCTTCAGCCTGTCGAGGAAGATGTGAGCATGATGAGGTTGAAAGATAAGGGCAGGACGCATACGTACACTCTTTACACCGGAGCCTCCAGCATGGATACCTGACATGGGAAGAGAAATTTTATTATAATTATTATTTTTTGTTTCTGGGGGAGTCCCCCAGTGGTCCCAAATGCTATCTTGCCGAGATTGCTCCATGCTAAAATGGTCACAATAGTCAGACCTTCTGTTTGGCTTACTGGAGACAGAGCCAAAACCTGCCACCCCCCCCCCCCCCACCCACATACACACAGGGAAGGGAGGGAAAGCACCATGCCATGATGACTATATAGCACTGGGAAGGGGTCAGGATAAGGATTTGGGATGGGACGAGGGGGAAGGGATGGGGCCCAACAACTTGGACGGTCGGGGATTGAATGCCGAGGTAAAGCATCCAGAAAGTCGGCATCGCTTTACAGATAACTGGAAGGTTTCATAGAAAATGAAGCCTTGAAAATCTTCAAATAACTCCACAAATGTTGGTCATTTATCTGGCTTATTGTGAGGACTTAATATTTGTTGCATGTTGGGATGCATGTTCTCAAGGCTTTCTTCCCCTGGGTGCCTACTTGTGTTGCCTCTGTACTGACAGTTATCTTCTTTAGTTTTGTCTTACCTGCAGAAGATGAGTCACAATAATGTGGCTGAAGATATGAAGACCAAACCACACACCATATGATGAGACGACAACATTTCAGTCCGTCCTGGACCATGTCTTACCTGCACACTTAATTGGTGGGAGGAGAGTGCCATCTTTCAAGTGTTGTTGGCTAGTGCTGTTTTTGTCCCTCTTGAGAACTGCCTATTTACTCCAACACTCCCCAAGAACATGGGCAAATGGCAACTATGTGCAGCTGCCTGTGCTGTCCAAGGCTTTTATTTCAAAGGACCACAAGGCACGTTCCTACTTGGCGAAGGTCTTGAGTACTTGGGTCCCCATGGAGGGGCTTTTGTAGGCAACTCCCTATGAACACTTGGTTCTGCTCCAGGTGTGAGGTCTGCAGTTATGACCCTGACAGCCTTGCTGAAGATGCTCTGGTCCCTGGTAGGCCAAACAGAAGTTTTGAAAATGACATTTCCTTTTCAACATGGAACAACCTTAGCAAGGAAGCCACTGGGGCTCTGCCAGAGAAAGGGGTTTCATTACATTCAATGCTTTTTATTTTTAAGAAAATTCAGTAATATTTGCAAACAGAAATTAACCATTGCACATGCATTTTGAAACAATTTAAGAAAGGAATATTTTGCATAATGTGGTACTTAAAAGCATAAATGCCTTCTTTACACAAACTAGTTGTAACCCTTTCTACTTACCCAGCATCCTCAGTTTACCAATAATAGCATCACGTTTATTAGCATTCGTCCCATCAAAAGCAAGGAAAGTTCCTCGTCCACGAGCTGCATTTATGTGTTGAGGAAATTGCTGTTCCAGTTCTTGTATTCCCTAAAGTAAAGAAAAATGCATTATTAAAATAAAAGTGTTCTCTAAACGTTTTAAGGCTTTGGCTTTCAAAATTTTCTTCATATTTTTTATAATATCAATTTTATTTGTTGGTTAATTACAATTAGACAAATACTTTTGATACATATGATTTAAAAAAGTCATGCTCACATACTACCAAACTTTGTCCATTCCTTATTTCAGGTTAAGAATCATTCATTTGTTGTCATTGTGTTTAACAATGCATTCCATCATATCTACACTGTACACACTTATTCCAGAGTAGAAGAGATGTATATGAGGAAGGAGTGCCGAGTGGCTCGAGGTATGTTACATGCAGGTGAAAACCTCCTGATGTGGCAAGCATGGGATTTGTAGTTCCTAGTAGACCAGGAAAAGCCACCTCACTGCTAATTGTAGAAGCCACTTTTTACTAAAGTTGCAGTTTGTGGTGACAAAAAGGTGAAGCGAGGCTCAGGGGGAGGCATTTTTCTTCCTTGATGGAATACTTGGGCCAGTTCAAGAGTTTGCATTATGGCAAATATGACTGTTCTGAAATCTTTGTTCAATAACAAAAGTTTTGTTGACCTTCATCTCCTGGTTTATATTATGGCCATATTTACTGTAATACAAGACCTTGTGCAGACATTCTTGGTATGAATCCATGAAGAATATATTACACAAGAAGCTGACTCATGAATGTAATAAAGGACACTTATTCTACTTTGGAAAGTTGATCTCCCTACTACTTCATGACAAAATCCTATACTGTTTTACCCAATATTTCCTACTGATAAAGAGGACTTTGTCACTGAAAGCCATGGACATTCAGACCAGTCAAGACAGGAAAGCGAGAAAAATAGTGCGGACCTTTAATTTTGGTGGGGGTCAATCCAGGGTAGTTCCCTCATATCCAATGGAAGAGAGTAAAGTGTGCATCTGGATCCAAGTATCTTTAGTAATATCTATTACAGTCATGATTAAGCTGCAGGTGAAGGCCAACATTCTTAATGGATATAGTTGGCATTCAAACTGCTCATTATTGGTCTTCAGTTTGTGTGAGGAAATGCAGGATAGGGTGTAACATCTCCAGTATCCATGTCAATGTTGGAGATTGGTGAATGTCTCTATTTTCTTATTTCAGTGACCTTACAGGCTGCTGAATCAGCAGGTTGCCTTTTGTTTTTCACTGGCTTATTTTCATTAATATCACCATCCATGAGACTGTATGGTATGCAAACTGAAAAATCCAGAGGCACACAATCCCGACTAGGACAGGAGATAAAGGTGAGCACTACGTTCTGTATATACAAACAGGATAAGCTAACTACATATAACTAGGTAGCTCAAATAAGGCAAAATATCAAGGCTGTGATGAGGAATAAGGAAAAGCTTGCACAAGGAATAGGTCTCGTGATAGTTCTCATCCTGTTTAGACAAGAGTTAATTTAAAATATTTGTTGTGGTTAGCCCCACAAGGGAAGTTTAGTGAAAACAGTTATCAGAAATATAAATATAGGAAAATTAGTTTCTCAAAAATCTTAATAAATAAACATACCTTCAGAAGAATTTTGCCAGTCTTTTCAACGTTTTCCAGAAGTCTGTCACGGTTGATAACCCGAATTACTTCTTCTAATGTGATGACCTTGGAAGAATCACCCATCCAGGTATTGAAGATGCGATATGGTACGAGTGGCCTGGTAGGGATAAAAATTGACAAATTGCTATCCTGTTTACCCTTCAGACTGAACTATTTGCCATACTTCTTGCATTCAAATGTAATTACCCAAGTGCAGTTACAGGATGAGAGTTACGCTCACGGTGTCTCGTCAGTGCAAATTCTATTATCAAATTGGATTTTATTTTGCATCTGTGGTCTAGCAAATTCATTTGTGAACATCTGAACACCAATCTTGACAGAATGGTGCCACCCGAGTGGGATGCTAACAGAAACTGTCACTTGGGATGCCTTCCCAAAACCTGTTGTAAGCTTATAATCTTGGCTCCCCACTCTAGATGAGACTAGTAAAACCAGCCTTGGGCAGGAACAGCAGCTTCTCCATTCGAGTTTCACTTCCTTTTAAGCTTTTTAGTGTTCATGGAGTTGGACTGTTCCAACAGAATGGGTATGAGATGGATCACTCGACTTGCAGTGGCTTGAAAGATCACAGGGTTATAAATCCATGGAACTGCTTACTCGCCAAAGTCATAAATTCCAAAATATTGCTGCAATTCACAATCCAATTGATAAAATCATAAGGACAAATGGGGAACTTCTGACAAGCCACCGACGTCCTGTCCTTACCGAGACCACTATGGAGATGGTGGCCCTCAGGTTAACGTGGATAAGTAATCTGTGCATGCAATGAGGTGCTGCATGAGAGACATGGCAGGACAAGACTGAAGCACAGGACTCCCCATGGTACAGGTTAGGAGTGAATGCTATGCTTCCTAGCCTAGCAAAATGTGTAACTTTTCAAATGTTTATATGAAAGCATTATTTGTATCGTTCACAGTTTCGAGAGGATGTAACATTTTCCTCGGTAGTGGAAGCAGCCCTAAGAACCAAGACAGTCTGATCCATTATGTGATGACTTCTTATTTTCATATTGTGAGAAAATTAAGATGGATGCCCTGCCCAATCTATACTTTTTCCCTTATCACAGGGTATGCAGTAATATGTGTATCAACTCCCAAAACTCATTCAGAACTTTCCCTCCATGATTATTATATTTCAGCACCAATAACTTGATGTTTTTTCTATAGTAGTTATTGCTTCACATGTAAGTTCAAACAAAGTACTTTTCTTTATATATAGCTTGATCTTGCAATCTCTTTTTACAGAATTGAGAAACAAAACCGTGACACAATGTAAACTTGGCAGTCTCAGTCCTTAATTGAAATGCTGCTCTCACATATGTAGCATAGCCTAACTCCCTTTTCCACCCACTGATTGACAACACCTTTCTCTTTCATTTGCCAATTATGAGATTTTCATTTACAATAACCTAAAAAATGAATTGCAGTACAGTATTACCAAATATTTTAGTGCGAACTTTACCTGAATTCTTTCTTACAGAAAAATCCCCCTGTCAACATCTTCTTGCTGAATGTGACAACATCTGGAGCTTCTGGCAAGTCAAAGTGTTCATGACACCAGAATTTGCCTGTTGGACCACATCCAGTTTGAACCTCATCAATAAGCAGCGCTGCACCAGTCTATAAAGAAAAAATAATTTCATTATATCCAGCCTGGCACATCACTTATAATATTTTAATTATATTTTGTCATTAATTCTGAATAATTTGAGGTTTTATGATCAGGCCTAGCATAGATTTGCATAATTGTAGAATCTAACCCTTTACATTTTCATTAAAATTATCTTACTCACAAATGGAGGATTATTTGCTAGGGTTTCACGAGTTTTGGCGCATGTGTAGTGTGTGTATGCATCGATGCATGCACAGTCTTCAAGGAATATTTGAAAGCACTGTCCAAGTCTTGACTCACTGTTCTTATTAAATTACCAAGGTGCACACAGTACTCTGGTTGTCAAGGCAGAGAATGGAGCACCCACTAGGTGGATGAGGCAGAGCACCACCCTCTACCTCAGCAGCCAATGTGCACATCATATTCTACGTTGGCAACAGGTGGGTACGCTGTCCTCCACCTCGGCAGCCAACAGGCGTCCTTGTCTTCTGACTCGGAAACCAATTTGAGGTTTTATGATCAGGCCTAGCATAGATTTGCATTAGTGTTACCATGTGTAGTGTACATAAGTTGCCGAGGCAAGGTACAGTGCACTCACTATTGCTAAGGTATAGGACATGCCCACTTATTTTTGAGTCAATACTGTATGTGTGCAAGCTGGTTACCAAGGTAGAGGACTATGTGCATAGTGTCGTCACTTTCAACAACCAGCATGCACTCACCAGCCTCTGGCAACCACAGTATAGAATGCCTGTTAATTGCCAAGGTAAAGGAGAGTGTGTACACCATTTTCTGCTCGGGCAACCAGTGGATGCTCTGTTCTCTGGCTGCCAAGGTAGAGGATGAGGTGTACGCTTCCTTGGCAACCAACACACACCATGGACTGTGATTCATCAACCCACATACAATGCCATCTCTGATCATGAAGCGCACACACATTCTCTGCCAATTTCAAACTTTAATAGTTAGGTTTTTCTCGACACACAATTGGGAATCCCAGGCGGGACAGAAATGGTTCAGTGCATTTCCTTTCACCTAATACCTGTTCACCCAGCAGTAAATAAATACTAGGAAGTTAGTCAACTGTTGAAGAGTTGCATCCTGGGAAGGGTTAATAGTTCAATGTTGGAGGAACCTTGATGTAAACCTCGCACACACAGGCTGCCTGTCCCCAGCAAAAATGAAATTATTCGACATGAAGTTTCAACAAGCTTTTTCCCTTTGTCTATACTGTTAGCACATTTTTAAGTACCATACTTGAAATGTTAGCATACAGTACCCTTTTTCCTATTTGTTGCAGTTCTTGGAAGAACTGTGGCGAGGCATGATTATCCCCACCCTCTGCCTGGATAGGCTCGATCACAATGCCTGCCACTGGCTTTCCCCGGCTGTTGAATTTGTGGATAAGATCTTCAACCTGAAAAATAATGTCTTAATAAATGGATATATTTATTTTAAAAACTTGTTCCCAATCATTTAATAAGATTAAGAAAAATTTGTGTAATTCATAAATAATAGATTTTAATAAAAAAATCGTCCACAGTGGAAGTTAAACAAAATTATTAGAGAAATCTGATGTGGCAGGAATAGTTTTGAATGCATAATGAAGGATCACAATCTGAAATTGTAATTGATATATAATACAGTGCTGTATACTAATGTGTAATAGGGCAGAGACAATAAAAAAAAAAAAATAGTCAAGCTCAATTTTTGTTTTACTGCTGTAAGTTTGTAAAAGATGCTGGGCATGGTATACATACTACTTGAAACCTCTATATTTTTAAATGTGAATATTTTACTAAAAAATTTAAGCAGTATACAGTACTTGGCAATTATCTTACATGAACATACTGTTCAGTGCTATGGTAACCCTAACACTTAATCATGTTAAAGTATACATGTCCAGATTACAGGTAAATATGACACTCTTATTAATATGGTTAACTTACTTCTTCCAGGCACTTCTTATCCTCCTCTTGGTTTTCCCGAACATGTTCCTCAAGGGGGTACTTGTATCGAGGGAACGTTGCAACTGGCCAGTCCATGGACGGAATATCCAACTTGTGAATTTCTTTGGAGTGGGTAGTGGCCAGACATCCCATTGTTCTCCCATGAAAGGCACCTATTGGAAGAAATTTAATACCTGCTTGTAATACTAAAATAATGATGTTCGTGATTTATGCGAGGTAAAACTCGATGGAAAACATTACTAATTTACTCTGTGGACATTGACAAGAATCTAAGAATTAAAAGTAAATGAATCTTTGAAAATAGCGTAGCTAGTTGGAGCAAGTGGTAAAAAAAAAAAAAAAAAATCCTGTTTTGAGTCACTTGAAAAGTGCTTTTATAAGCAGATCATTTGACTCCTCCCAAATGTATCACAGACTCAGTTTCTACTGCTGAAAGATGGATTTTAAATTTTAATTGAATATTAGCATCTTGCAATGCTTGTGAACACTATCAATCCTTTACGTAGCCCTCTATGCACACATCTTACTGCCTCAATCTTCCTAACCAGCACTTTCATTGCACGAGCCACTTTCCTCCAATGATTAATTTTTTAACAAGTACAGTACTCACAATTAGTAACTCTTTAGATAAAACTTACAGAGTAACCTTTGCTGAATTTTACATAATACTGTACAGTTGTAAAAGTTGGGTTCAGTTTGAAATAATGTAGAAATAAGCATATACTGGACTTTACAATAATTCTGAGTTTAAGATAAATAACCCCTTTCATTTGGAGAGATATTCACCGTATTTCCAACCCTTCACCAATTGGCTCTCCCTCACACAGTTTCTATAATTCTTAACATTTCAACGACGTATGGGGGTCAACTATAATTGCCAGATAAGTTGATACAGTAACTGCCTTTCATGGCAACTAATTTTATAATTTTCTGAAGTCCAACCATGTTTTTCACATCATAAGCAACATCAGATACTGGTAGCTGTTATACTATAACTGGTTGGTAGAGCTATATTTATCAACCAAAGTTCCAAGTCTATGCCTAGAAAAACAAATTTGCCCAATAAACTATGAAATTACAGTATTAAAGTGTTAGTCATACCACTATAGCACTAAACCTAAAAAACTTAATACTGTACATATACAGTACCAAATGAACTACAGTACTTTTCTAATCATTAGCACTATGACACACAACTAAAACTCCTGTAACAATACTGTAGTTTCAAGAATCTGCCGCAGTAATTATTTTAAAGATGATTGCTACAGAGTACAAACTTGTGTGTATCATACCTTTAAAAGAAAGCAATGAGTAAGTGGGACATCCAGGTGGCTGATTCATCATACAGCTGTCCAATTCTTCCTGGGTGAAGGCAACATTCTCACCACGTTCCTTGGCGCGATACCATATGCATATAGCCTTGAAAGCATTCTCATTACTACAGGAACCACAGGACATTGTGTACAGTTGATTCAGGCCCTTTGGTGCTATCTAAAAAAAAAAAAAAATTAATAAAATTCTTGCTAAATATTCTAGTCCAGTGTCAGATAGTATTCTGATAACTACAGTTTGTACATTTGTGACATGAAACACTGTTAAACAAAACAAATATAGAAAGCATTGAGTGTAATGAAATGTCCCTTTTGCAACATGGAAGACATTACAGAAGAATCTGATATGGAGGGAACAGATTGATTAACTCCCACTTGTACCAGTCTACAGGGAAAGAATTCATCACAAATTCTTGTGATCAGGAAATGGAGCAACATACATCTGGGGCTTGTGTTTCTATGCTGACATAAACAGATCAACCTGTGGACACTAAACATATCCAGAGAAAGGAGGCTCTGTCCACCTATCATGCCATCAAAATTGGATAGAACCCGGAGAGGCCATTCACTGGCATGTTCGAGACTGAATATGAACTGCATTCGGGAAGCCGTGAGAAGCCAGAAGTGAAGTTGTCCTCAGAGTCCACCCCAACAGCAGGAGAGATCGGGCGTCACTTTGTTTAGGCAGTAGTCGATAGGGAGGCAATCCAAATGAAGGCAAATGACTGAATCATGCCAGTAACAGATTACCAAAGTTCCATCCAAACCACCACTAATTCTGATTATGATACAGTATAAACCTGGTAAATTTGCAGCAACCACAAATCCTGGCCAGTGTGGTGATGGCAGGAAACCAAACCCCAGCAAAAACCCAATACATCTGTAAACAGCTCGAGTAACAGAACTGGTGGACACTAAGGAACGAAACACTGAAGAGGAAAGTGATGATGCAGAATGTCCCCAAGACAAAACAGCATAACTGTGCATTGCCAGTGCAGAAGTCAATACAACACAGTCACCCACATGTGGCCCAGAGGATATCCCAGGCATAAGAGTGCTTAAGCTCTCTATTACCAATCCAGCCCCCTGCTCAACACCAATTGAACATGGGGTGAGTAAATGTAACAGGGTTGACTATGAGTGGGAGGCTGCCCTGTATCCAAGGCCAATCCCAACCAAGTGAGAAATTGAGCTGGCTCCAGCTTGGATTTCTTTAAATTCCTAGAGATATACCTGGAGAGGGTTTCAGGATTTTTTCAATTCCCCAAGGCCTGGCCCTGGCCTGGGGGCCAGGCTTGACTGCATTGGCAAGGAAGCTAATGCTGGCCAGTATTCAAAGGACCAGTCTCCTGGCCAACAGGCACACTGCCACTGGAAACCCACCCTCAAAAATATACTTATCAAGATAAACCAGAACTTGACTTCAGTGTAGTGGAGAATATGCTCAGTTGTGACTTTGTTTACTCTCCAGCACTACACTCTTATATGGCATCATTAGAGTATCTGTCATTGTGGAACCAGTATACTGTAATTATATTCCTGAAAAATAGCTAACCAGACGTCAAACTAGTATCACGCTGAAAGATTTTCAAAATAAAAACTGAGTAAATCAAGGAAGTAGAGAAGTGGACAATGTGTGCTTACTTTGAGGAGGGAGTTTTTCAGCCGATCTACCCAGTCTGCTCCTGGGAATACCCCCAAAGCTGGCCGGTTAATGAATAATTTCTGAAGGAAAAAATGCAGTTAACACACAAGAAATATTAGTCAATTCTCATATGAATATAAGAAACAAATTAGCATATATGTGATAGGATTTTAATTTAAGAATCAGGGAGCCAATAAAGAAGTACATTGTATTACAACTTGGGAACTCATTCAAAGCAATAATACAATAGAATTCTAATTGCTTATGATTGGCTGCCAAATTTGTGTATATGTATTGAATACCCTTTACTGTGACTCAGCGCACAGATGACATTTCAAGTATCTGCAGATTGTAGCACCAGCAAATAGAATGCCATTTAATGTCCAAATTGAGAATCCTAGCACAAGTTATGATAAAAAATTATAATACAGTACTCCAGAAGCAGCAGTGTACTTGCTTTGTATACAGTTACTTTCCTGTACACCCTATGCAAATCAAAAGCCTATTAATCACTTTTATTACTGTATATGGGAAAATAGGATTTTATTAGAGCTACAAAAGTTCACTATCTGGGCTGGCGCTATGTAACTTCTCTGAACTTTCCCTGCCACTGGCTTATCAGGGTCATCTTGAATATGCTAGATTTCCATGACTTTATATCCATAAGATTAAGAGGATACCGTAGTTAATTGCTTTTAAGACTCGATAACCAATGTGAGTAATATAATGTATTTTATGAATTAAATACATATACTGTAAAATTTTTGGCAAATACTGGATGCTTCTATACTTGTTTCTTGCATTTATGATAGTGAATGCACTGGGAACATCTATTGCCTGGTATTGAGTTACCTGGACCACATTCTCAATTAGAAAATAGACAATTATTTTTATGGCTTTTAATTTTTTGTAAAACATATTTGTAATTAATTTTCATGGTATGGAAAGTATACACCATTTTTTTGTCTTAGAAATACAGATGCACGTAAGTTTCATAATGTAGATGTAATTAATATTGGAAAATGCAAATTTAGTGTTGTAGCCCCTATATAAACCACAAACAAATATGGTTAGGTTAGGTTTTATTAGCAACAAACATAAAACCTTTTCAGGTTTGTTCAAAATCAATAGTACCAAATTCTACTTTCTAATTGTCCATTGTGTCAAAAGAGTATACAGTGTATATGATTGTCCACATCATTACTTTAAGTACTATCTAAACAGGTGGATGGGGCTGGAAAATATTACTTTACTGTATATAGTAAAATACTGAACTTTTGAAAGTTCTTTATTTATATTAGTCAGACCAACACATTCCGTATGCTTACAGGGAGAACGAACAAATTACACTACCGTACTTACAATGTTGCTGGGGTCATTTAAAATCTTAAGAAGATCTGGATGGCTGTAACCAAGAGGGATTGAAGAGATTTGGGTGTAGACGTCAAGTAGAATGTTTCCATCGATGTCCATCAAGTAGTTTCCCAAACTTCGCTCATAGTCCACGAACAGTTGTACAGCACCCGACTCCTGCCAGTAGTGAAGCGTGATGTGTCAAGCCCAGCCTGGAGGCCAAGCCCCAGCTCCACAACTTTAATTCTGCATAGCATAACACACCTGTCAAAGCCCCAGATCTTCCAAGTTGCTGGCTACTCTATGTGGAAGGAATGTATGCAAGGCTACAATATATCGTGTTGATCAACACTAGCATGTTAATTATTTACTGTACACCCAAAAGGTAAAGCTACAATAATCTACAATCCAGCAGGTTCATATTTAGTGCTTGTACTGTACTGTGCAGCTGTATGTCTTTTTACCTCTACAATGTGACCAACTCGACTTTAAAGAAAAACATTTGCAAATCTAAAATATGATAGCAAGCAGTATGAGTGAGATTCTTATTTCTAGTTTTCTGGTTACAATAATAGATGAAATGGACATGAAAATAAAGCATAACAGCTTAAGAGTGCCCACTTCAACAAATGCTTACACTAACGTCACATTTTACTCTGCATATTTTATCACCAGTAGTAGACAAATGATATGAACAGCAATACCCTCAAAGATTTTAATTATATAAATGCATGTTTGTGACTGAAGAGATTAAATAATTAAAGTACAGTACCTGTATATATAATGTAATACAAATGGAGCATTGATTGTGTTAAATTATTTAATGAGCCAGTATTTTTGTGGCTCCCTTAACCAACCCTTACATGGTCCACCCAGGACACCCATCAATGCTAGGGTCTATGTGACCTGCCATGCCACCATGACACGAGGCTTCAGATGGCCTTGCCATGTAATTGAGGCAAGAAGACAGTGGAGAGTACTCTTTCTCAACCAGCCACTGATAGTTCGACTCGCTATATACAAACACACACACCCCTCCAAGCATTAAATGGAAACTTAAGGAATACCAATTAATCATGCAAACTACCATAAACAAATTGAAATTATCCTTCACAACAACAGGTGTCAGCGGCAAATTGCACCACAGGGTCGAAGATGCTAGCAATCACCCACTTAATGCCCTGACTACCCCCAACATGTACAGGGATAAAGTAACAAAAAGGCAAGTACTGAAACAGAGAAGAGCATTTCCTACCAATGCTTTATTTCTGAGATAAAGTTGTTCCCATGGCCACAAGCTACAGAGTACACAAACTGAGACTTACCCAGGCATCATGCATGCCACAGAAGGACCATAGGGATAATAAAAAGGCACTTATGATCACTGACGTTGGCTACCACAAAGATGTCAGATAGAAGAAAGTTAGCTCAGGGTGATACTGTACATACCACAAAAAGGACAAGGCATATACAGGAAATACCAAAAGGTAAACATTGCAGTTTAACCTATAATAGATTAAACTATAATAGGTTAAACCCCCTTCCTCCTTTTCCACCATGGATATCAGAAGTAGTCGTGGCACAAATGAAGCCAGTGAATGGGGGCATATATAAAATCATGAACTACAGAGTAAGCCCTGGGCTGACTATGCCTAACTACTTCATGCAACAACTAGAGGAGAAAAGCCTTGGAACAAGAGGTTAATGCTCCAGTATTATGGTAGAGAACCTTCATACAAGTCACATTATTATGACTTCTCTCCATACAGTATAGTTAATTTTAACGACTTAGAACAAATGAATATACACTACTATAGTTAATAATGAGAAATATTGGTAAAGGTATTATATTTATTTTTAGTTGTACTTATGTTCTTATATTTAAAAACATTAATTAATAAAGCCCTTGACAAAAATGAGTTTCCGATTGGACTCTTCATTGACCTAAGAAAAGCCTTTGATACTGTTAATCACAACTACCTCTTACTTAAACTCCAGCATTATGGAATCCGAGGCCTTGCCCTTGACTAGATCCGATCCTATCTTAGTGACAGACACCAATATGTAACCATCAATGATACAACTTCTTCCACTCTACCAATTACCGTTGGAGTGCCACAGGGCAGCATCTTAGGACCTCTTCTATTTCTTATATATACAGTATAAACGATCTGCCTAATGTCTCTAATATTCTCAAACCTATATTGTTTGCTGACGATACTACCCTTATCTACTCAAACCTCAACCCACATACACTAAATAATGTTGTGAATAATGAATTAAAAAAAGTCCACTTATGGATGTCAACGAACAAACTAACATTAAACATCGAAAAGACTTACTACATCTTATTTGGAAGCAAATCATCAAATGCAATTCAGCTACAGATAGACAACATTAACATCAGTAATAAAAATGATGGCAAGTTTCTTGGCCTATTCCTAGACAAGAGACTCAACTTCAGCACCCACATTCAACACATAACTAAGAAAGTCTCTAAGACAGTTGGTATACTATCCAAAATCAGATATTATGTTCCTAACTCTGCTCTCCTCTCACTATATTATGCACTAATCTACCCCTATCTTAATTATGGTATCTGTGCATGGGGGTCTACCACTGCAAACCACCTTAAGCCCATCATCACACAGCAAAAATCTGCTATCAGAATAATAACTAACTCTGCTTTCAGACAACACTCAGCTCCCTTGTTTAAATCCCTAAACTTGCTAAATATTAACTCCCTCCACACATTCTCTTGTGTCAACTACATTTACAAAACCCTGTTCTTAAATGCAAACCATGCTCTGAAACTCTCCCTGGACAGATGTAATAGGACCCATTATCACCACACCAGAAATAAATATCTCTTTGATATCCCCAGGGTCAAACTTAATCTGTGTAAACACTATGCAAATTAAGGGACCTAGTCTATGGAACTCACTCCCTAGTGAATTGAAAAACTGTAAAACTTTTGCCTTATTTAAAAGCAAAACCAAAAAGTACCTAACTTCATCTATTTAGTTTCCTACACTGAGCTTTAAATTTGCTCTGTACCTAGTGTTACCCAATCTCCTAATTTTTATGTAATATCAAACAACCTTATCATTGTGTTCATTGCTGTCTTCTTTTATGTGCTAGCCATATGCTGTATTGCGACTACCAATTTTTGTCAACTACCATTCAAGCTGTCATTGCAATCAATCTTATATTGTTTCTGCTGTATTGTGCCTACCAATTTGTTGTCAACTACCATTTTAAGCTGTCATTGCAATCAATCATAGCTACCTATGTGCTTTAATTTACTGTACCTATAATTTTCTCTCATCTTTTTTTTTCATTCCATGTAATCTGTTATTTTTTTGTCTATAAATTTTGCAAGTATTTACCTCCTTAAAATTTTCTTAGATTAAGGACCTGCCCGAAACGCTGCGCGTGCTAGTGGCTTTACAAGACTGTAATTACCATATTTGTATCCTCACATTCCTTATGTACATTCTTGTACAGGTATATGCATAAATAAATAAATAAATAAATAAATAAAATAAATAAAGGCAATATATATGTGAGAGTGATGGAGTGTTTAAAGGATAGATTAGTACTGTACTGTACCCGTATATGAGTGACTGGGTAGACCAATAGGAGCTGCCTTCCATGGCCCAACAGACCTTCTCTAGTTTCATTTATTATGTTATTTATGCAAAGTGGGTACTTCCCGGTATTTAGAATAAGACAGCATCGAGAAGGACACTATGATGAGGGTACAGTAACAAGAAAACGGCTGGAAACCATGGCTGATTTAGCTACTTTGAAGCCAACAAAATACTGTAATGTGATGGAAAACTCTAACTTTGATAGCTTTGGGAAAAGTACCTGAACCACAGGGAAGTGGTAAAGAAAATTCCACTGATTCTAGTCCAGATGAAATGTGTCCAATGCAAAGTTTCTTGATTAGGAAATGGCCTTATATGGAGCGAGAGTCATCTATTCCAAGTCATGGTGAAAATATTCACCTATGGGCACCCAAAAAGCACTTTTATCAACAGAAAGGAGGCCCTATCATCAAAATTTGATGAAAAAAGGAGAGGCTATCCATGAGCATGTTCAAGTCTCCACAAATGGGAACCATACTAAAACTAAAACTCCCAAGAAGCCAGAATGTTACAGCTTCCCTCAATTAAACTTTCTCAATTCAGGCACCAAACCCCACAAGAGGTGTGCCAATGCCATCCAGGCCATCACAAATTCCTTCAACACGCCACAATGTAGGACAGAAAACAGGAAATGCTTTTTCACCCATAGGATGGTAAAGCCATGGTAAACCTACCTGCCAAAGACGACAAAAAACTGCTGGGTTTTATAATGCAGTTACAATACAACAATACAATACAATTTTATTTAGGTAAGGTACATACATACAATAAATATTTACAAGGATTGTTTAACTTATAGGTATAGCTAGTACATACAATGCCTAAAGCCACTATTACGCAAAGCGTTTCGGGCATGATAAACTTAAATGACAAGCTTAATACTAATTGAGCATAATGAGTAGAATGAAAACAAGAAATGAAAACATAGATGAAAAAGCAGCACAAATACAATTATGTCGACAAACAGCGCTCTTTAAAGAAAAAAACAGACATTGGTTGACAATAGAAGGGTAAGGTAGGTTACAGGGAATTTATTAGGTATAGCTTCGCTTTTAACTTAAACTGGTTGAGAGAGGTACAGTCTTTAACATGGTTGGGAAGGTCATTCCACATTCTGGGCCCCTTGATTTGTAGAGCATTTCTAGTTTGATTAAGTCGTACTCTAGGAATATCAAAACTGTATTTATTTCTGGTGTGATGCTCATGGGTTCTGATACAACCTTCTATGAAGCTTTTGAGATCAGGATTGGCATTATAGTTTAGCGTTTTATATATGTATAATACACATGAGAGAATGTGCAGTGACTTAATGTCTAACATATTCAGAGATTTAAGTAGGGGTACAGAGTGATGTCTGGGGCCAGAATTGGATATTGTCCTAATAGCAGCTTTGTGTTGAGTAATTAGAGGACGTAAGTGATTTTGGGTAGTAGAGCCCCAAGCACAAATACCATAGTTGAGATATGGATAGATAAGGGAGTAATAGAGAGTCACCAGGGCAGGGCGTGGTACATAATATCTGATCTTAGAAAGAATGCCCACAGTTTTCGAAACTTTTTTTGATATGTTTAGAATGTGTCCCTGGAAATTAAGCTTGTGGTCAATGAGAATGCCAAGGAATTTGCCATCTAATTTGTTACAAATTTGGGTATTGTTTATTTTGAGATTTATTTGATTAGAGGATTTATTGCCAAACAGAATATAAAAGGTTTTGTCAATGTTAAGGGTGAGTTTGTTGGCAGTTAGCCACAGATGGACTTTATTTAGCTCAGTATTTACTGTGGCATTTAGAGCAAGGGGATCAGGACTGGAGTAAATGAAGGTTGTGTCGTCAGCAAATAGAATTGGTTTGAGGTGTTGGGAGGCATTTGGAAGGTCATTAATGTAGATGAGAAAGAGGAGAGGGCCAAGTATGCTGCCCTGGAAAAGATCATCAAGGCAAATGAGGGGACCTTTGACAAGTCGCCGGCTTCCTGTCCTCGTAACTAGTATTAATGGCCCTCAGGTAAATTCTGGTAATATGTAACTGGCAAAGCCACAGGGACAACCTTCCCTAGTCTGCATGGTAATGGGTGAAGATGAAGTGCCAGCCAAGGTCGTGTGCAACCCATGACAAAGTCCTAGGAATGGAGAAGGCTAGCACCATGAAATTATCCTGAAAACCTCAAAAATGAAAACGAAGAACAGCCATCATGGCAATATGTTGAGGCCAGAAATTGGTAATTCTAAAATTGTGGATAGCAACCCCACCTTCAGTCTCTCCCACCCCTCCCATTCCACCATCACTCAGAGTTAGCCACACCTGGATCTGTGAGAGTTCCTGAAGCTTCTGGTTTGAGATAGGTCCTGGAATAGTCTTCGTGACAACTTTGGGGCTTGAGGGTTCATTGGGAATGAAGGAGTTGCTGGAGTCATCTTTAGATGCTGTATGCTGTCCCCGAACACTGCCTGCGAGAGTAGGAATGCATTTCAAATCATACTCCAATAAATTATAGTACTAACTTATGCATTTAATTTATATATAACCTGTATCTAGACATTTATACCAATGGAGTTTTGAATTATTACACTTTGTGGGGTAAATATATTTATTGGATATCATAACGTATTATTATAATACAGTGCCAGTATTTGTTAAACCCAAGTGTACTTGATATCCATAAGACTGAAATGCAATACTAATCCTGACCACAAACTTCTTAAGAGGGTTGCAACAGAACCCCATGAACACCACATAACAAATATTTATTTGATATTCCAAGAGTATGACTCAACCAAAGCAGAACTGCCATACAAATGAAGTCAATTTGTGTTTGCTGTTATTATGAATTACCTGCTTTACCTTTAGTATTACAGAAAATTGTGTATCCTTTGCAACAATTTCTTAACAATTTATATACATTACACAGTATTTGCTCACTTCTTGTATATTATTATGTATTACCCCAAAACGTAAAATCAACACACATTATCTTATTGTTTCCAAAATGCTGCATGTAAATAGTGGCCTTATATTATATACAAATACTGTACTGTACCTAAAAAAGGTCTCTAATCTGATCCAGTGCATGTTATACCTGAACTTGAATTACGTTAGCATTTGCATTATTATTATTATTGATTAGAATTTTAGTCTTATGATGGTGTAACTGGTGGACTACATTAACATTTAATAACATGTATAATTAGAAAATCAGTAGGAGCCACGAGGAGGATTTGAACCTGCACACTTGGTACTCCCAAGCCCACATTGGCAGTACCAAGTGTGTACTGCTGTCAGGGACATTAAATCCGTACTTGGGTTTATTGAGTCCCCCCCCCCCATCCATCTCCAGGTCAACTATACTGACCTTTCCCAAGATGCAGAGCCAGGACCAAAGAGTCAAAGTTCAACACCACAAACAACTAGGTGAGTACAACAACTGTTTAACTCCCGGGTATCTATCTACTGCTAAGTGAACATAAGCATCAGGTGGAAGCAAATGTGTCCAACCATTTCTGTACTGCCCAGGGGATCACCAAAGTTATTTGTGTAGTTCCAACATAGGGTCCCAGTAGTACGGTCAGGGTCGTTCTCGATTCTCAGTCCTGAATTCCGGGTTCGAATCGCGAGCGGGAGAAAATAATTGGGCGCATTTCCTATCACCTTTATTTATTTTCTTTATTTATTTGTGTGTATATATTATATATTTATTTGTGTGTCTACAAAACTGATAATATCTGATATCTGATAATATTCTACAAAACCAAGAAGACTTCCGAACTCCTTATCAAAAACAGCCCGAAGCCGACGGAGAACCCTCTACAGCAGTCAAGCGTTGTATACATGTACACTTGCCCCCACGAAGGATGTAACCTTCAATGTAAGTACATAGGTATGACGTCGACCAAGCTGACGAGGCGTTTGACATGCCATCTTCAATCTGGTGCCCCTAGGAATCACATGAGACAAGCCCATGACATTACTCTAACAAGAGAAATGTTGAACAAGAATACTTGCATAATAGACAAAACCCAAGATTCAAGAAGATTACAAATTCTTGAGGCAATTCACATAAGAATAGAGCGACCTACCATGAACACCCAAATCACGGAACTATTTACTCTACCCACCATGAGAGTAAGGACAAGACAAGAACATATCGATGCCAACACAGAAGACAATGTCCAACATAACAGGCCAATTACACTGGATTAATCTTTGTGTTTAGATAGGAGATGCCTCGTATGGGCCAATAAGCCTTCTGCAGCCCCTATGTTTATCCCTTATGTATCTCCCCATGTTTTCACCTTCATTGTATTATCACCTGACCTAATGCGGGTATAAAATCAACTAGTATTGTAAGATCTGTTCACTTGAGAATGAACCATGGAGGTTCGAAACGTCGTACAAATTATACAAATAAGTGTAAAACACTCTTTAGTAAATCACTTCTTTTCTTCACCTTAAAAGTACGAAAATGAGTTTTGGAGAACTCCTATTTCAATTAAGCCCTGATGCTAAGAAAATAGTTAGAGGGATAGAAGCCCTAAACCAGAAAATAATAAATACAGAATATGCGGTCATATTCAATGAAACATGTTTGAAAGAAAACCTGCTGCCAGTATACACCAATATATATATATATATATATATATATATATATATATATATATGTCGTACCTAGTAGCCAGAACTCACTTTTTGGCCTACTATTCAAGGCCCGATTTGCCTAATAAGCCAAGTTTTCCTGAATTAATATATTTACTATAATTTTTTTCTTATGAAATGATAAAGCAACCCTTTTCTCTATGTATGAGGTCAATTTTTTTTTATTGGAGTTAAAATTAACGTAGATATATGACCGAACCTAACCAACCCTACCTAACCTAACCTAACCTATATTTATAGGTAAGGTTAGGTTAGGTAGCCAAAAAAGCTAGGTTAGGTTAGGTAGGTTAGGTAGACGAAAAAACATTAATTCATGAAAACTTGGCTTATTAGGCAAATCGGGCCTTGAATAGTAGGCTGAGAAGTGCGTTCTGGCTATTAGGTACGACATATATATATATATATATATATATATATATATATATATATATATATATATATATATATATATATATATATATATATATATATATATATATATATATATATATAAAAAGCGACTAATAATCGCTACGGACCTTCACCAGTTTCCTCTGGCTTCATCCTGGCCAGGCATAGTTCACCATCTTTCGGGTCCCAACATGTCTGCTCATGGTACTTGCCGACTGCACGCGTGACCCGCTGATCGGCCCTGGAGCCTCCTGGCAAGTCCCGGGCCTGTGCCCCCCCACCCCCCTGCAACAGCAGGGGTGCATATAATATATTTATATATAATAAATTTTTTGTGATCATTGTATATGCAACAATGATCACAAAAACACTGATCCAAGTATACGGAAAACCACATTTGAAAAATAGAGAATGCTTAACGTGTTTTCGGTTAATTCGCCTTCATCAGAGCAAAGTAGAATGAAGGAGCGCTTTTTTCAGGAGGAGAGCAGGCAGTCCTCCCTGCCATGGGGACCTAATGCGTCTGTTCACCTAGCAGCAAGTAGGCAACCAGCAGGAGTGTATGTGTAATTCGACCTGGGAGCTTGGCCCTCGATAAAAGCCTAAACATATCAATTATGACACTAGCTTGCCACACATGTCAGTTGCTTAATTTAGAGACCGTACATGGGGTCAGTCTCGAACCCATTATTGATGTAACGATATACATTCAATTTTTTAGTAGCTCATCAAGACTAATTTCCTTAGTTTTGAATTTTGGGGTTCAGTTCCTGAGCCCATTATGTGCCTCTGTAACCTTTTCCACTACAACCAAAAGGATGGGTATGGGGTGAATAATAAATGAACTAAACTACCTCTGTTCCGCTCGGGTATCGAACCGGTAATCCCCGACTCTGAGGTATTGGCAAGAGATGGCGTTTTTTAATGCAATCTTCCAGTCTCGGATCGAAACGTGTGCCAGACTTGCAGGCGTCTCCTTTACTTTTGTGAGAAGAGTTTTCGGAAACCACTCTCAATATTCTTCAAATTCATCAGAGTACATCCTCCCCTCGTTTATTCATTTGCAGGAAAGTGAAGTAGATTACATTTTACACATTTTGTCGAGTACACGTGGTACATGGTGGTAAAGTAACTATTAACACGCATTATAGTGAAGAAGAGGGAGGGGTGGGGCAAGAAGCCATACACGGAAGGTGCCTCAGTGAACGCATCAGGTGGTGGCACAGGCATCCCTTGTTGTGAGTACATACCGGCAGACACCCCGGTCCCATCACACCACCTGCTGCTGCTGCTGCTGCACCAGGCAATGTTAAAGGTGCGTTATCCAGCCTCTCGCCGCATTCGCCGGCAACAACCCTCCCTCCCTCCCTCCCTCCACTTGATGCTTGTCTCCAGCTGATTTCTACATTGCTTCATCTTCATCCCTCTCATCTTTCTCCTGATCATCATTCATCCTGCTGATTATCATTACTCTCCTTTCACATAACTTTTCCCTCTTCTTCATCACTACCTTAATTTCTCTTGTTCGGTATCCAGGTACCAAAGAACTGGGTTGTCATATTTTAGGCATAGAATGAGTGTTTTATATTGTTTCCTTCACTTTTCCAGTTCATCCCTTGCCGTGTATCACTACATACGCTGCGGGTCTACAATAAACTACGTCTCAGCATGAATTCAAGTTCAAGTTCAAGTATGTTTATTGATCAGCATGAATTTACCAGAGGTGGACCACCACCATTAGTGCCTCGACAGGGACAAAACGCTTGTTAATGGCCCCTCCATTATTCTTGGTGATTTTTTCCAGCTAAATTTTAAACTGAAGTATTATCTTGGCATTTAGACTTCAGCAGGTAGACGATTTCAAGGGCTTATTATATACGGGCGAAAAAGCATCTCATGGATTGTCTTTTATTTTAGTTCTTTTTTAACAGGGGGGTGTAGTAGACTTTGACTTCTGTTTGCAAATCTGAGAGCTTTCCCTTTCCATAGCTCATGGTAAATCTTTCCCCTACTAGTTTCCCTGGAACATGACCTCCCAATCGGTTAACAACCAGGTACCCGAATTACAAATGAAGGGTGAACACGAGGCGAACAGTTCATGTCCGCCATGTTGCTTTTTGTTATTTCTGTTTCTCTACCATCAGTACTAAAGGCCCATTACGATTTCGAGCACAACTTTATCACTAACACCTGAGACTTGCTACAACATCACCAAACTGTATCTGATCTAGCTTGCAAAATGCTCTTGATAAAACTATCTGAAGTTAAGCCTAGTCAATGTCAATTACCAAAACTGAAGTGCGATACTTATCAAAATTAAAGTTCAATCATAATTAGAGAGCACAAATACCTAAAGGCTCTGAGAAAATATTGAGATCGTACAATGGAATCGAATTCGTATCCTATC